GTTAAATCTGAGCAACAGACAAGCGCCAGATCAGGCTGGGCTTCTAAGCCAGGAGGGCTCCTCCTCCTTTCCTGGGGCTCTGAATTTCCACCGGGTGTCATTTCCCTTCAGCCTGAAGAACTTCCCTGGGCAATTCCTGGAGCGCAGGTCAGCTAGTGACCAATTCTCTTTTGCTTCAGTTTATCTGAAAATGTTCTTAATCACTTCAGGTTTGGAGGATGCCCCTTGGCCACGAATTCCAGGTGAAGAGCTTTGTTTCCTCCCAGCACTTCAGCAGGTGCTGCTTTCTAGGCCCCCCAGGTCCCTGAGCGAAGTCAGCGGGCATTCTTATTGGGGTGGGGGCTCTCCTCTCACCTGGCTGCCTTTTCTTTATCCTTTGTTTTCAGTAGTTTTACCATGATGTGTTTAGTTTAGTGGGGATTTCCTGGTAGATTTTTTAAAATTATTTATTCTGCTAGGATCACTAGATTTCCTGGACATGTGGGATTACTGTTCTGGTTCAAGTTTGGGTAATTTTTGGCCAATACTTATTCAAGTAACTGTCTGTACTGTTCTTTCTCCCCTCTTTCTGAAACCCCAATAACATGTATATTTGACTGGTACTTTTCCACAGCTCTGTAAGTTTCTCTCTGCTTTTACTCTTTCTTTTCGAATCATATTGGATTTCTACTGTTCTGACTTCAGGTTCACTGACCCATTCTTTGTTGTGCCAATCTGCTAGTAATTGCACTAATGATTTTCTTTTAAGTTAGGTTTAGTGAATATAACTTGCATACAGTAAAATTCACCCTTTTAAGTGTATGGCTGTATTAGTTTTGACAAATGCAAATAATCATGTAATTATCAACACAATAAAGACACAGAAAGGCTCCATTATCTGCCAATACTTCCTCATGCCACTCTGATGAACCTCCCCTCCCCCCACAACCTGCACCAATCAATCACTGCTGCTTTCTATTCCATTGTGTTGCTTTTTGAGAATATTTGCCCATTTTTAAAATACGGGGTTGTTTTCTATTATTGAGCTGTGGGAGTTCTTGGCTAGGACCTCCTGTATTGCTGAATAGAGGGGTGACAATGGATATCTTTCTCTGGTTCCTACCGTAGGGGAAAAAAATTAGTCTTTGACTATTAAGCATAATGTTAGCTGTGAGATTTTGTAGATGCCTTTTATTAGGTTGAGAGAGGGCCCCTTCTATTCCTACTTTGCTGAGATATTTTATCCTGAAAAGATGGTGAATTCTGTCAATCACTTTTTGTTACATCTATTAAGATGATCATATTTTTTTCTTTTTTTATACTCTCTTGCTACAGTAAATTGCACTGATTTATTTTTGGATTTGAACCAACCTTGCACTTATGGGATAAATCCTACTTGGGTATTATTATTATATGTGGCAGGATTTGATTTTGTTATTTTGCTGAAAAGTTCTGGTTCTATATTCATTAAGGATTACTGTGATTTTCTTGCAATGTTTTTGTCCAGTTTTGGTATCAGAGTAATGTTGTCATGAAATAAGTTGAAGACTTTTGTTTATTTCTTGGGTACTATTATTTATTCCTGAAATGTTTGGTCAAATTCCTTACTGAGGACATCGGGCCTGCAGTTATCAGTGTGGGATGGTTTTTAACTACAAATTCTATGTCTTTAATAGATATAGGACTATTCAGGTTACCTTTATCTTTGACTGAGTTTTGGCATTTTGTGTCTTTCAAGGAATTTGTCAATTTCATTTAAGTCGTCAAATTCATAGGCAAAAAACTGCTTTCATAATATTCCCTTGTTATCCTTTAAATGTCTGCAGGATATTTAGTTTTGCCTTCTTTTTCATTCTTGATGTTTGTAATAAATTTATTTTTTTTCTTGTCAGTCTGTCTATAGGTTTATCTATTTTATCAATCTTCTCCAAGAACCAGTTGTTGGTTTCACTGATTTTCTCTATTATTTTCTCTTTCTGATTTCGCTGATTTCTATAGTATCTCCTTCAGTCTTCTTGTTTTGAGTTTAATCTGTTCTTCTTTTCTAGCTAATACCTACATTTGATTTGACTTTTCTTTCTTTCTAACATGAGTATTTAATGCTATAAATTTCCCTCTAAGAATGCTTTTGCCGAATATCACAATTTGTGATACTTGCATATGTTGTGTTTCATTTTATTCCATTCAAACACTCGTAATTTATGAGTCATGAGTTAGGTAAGAGTGTCTTGCATACTTTTCAACTATTTGGTACTTGTACAGGTATCTTTGTTTTGATTTCTACATTCATTTCATCAATGATCAAATAATACAATCTAAATGATTTCAATTTTTTGAAACTTGTCAAAAATTATCTTATTGCTTAGAATATGGTATTAGAGAATTTCATTGTGCACTTGAAAAGAGTAAATATTTTGCTGTTATTCAGTGGTTCCTTTCTTCCAAGAGTCAAATCCCCTACCATGTCTCCCTGCTTTTACTCACTCTCTAGTGCCTTAACGATTGTTTTTCAAATTTATTTTACCCAGAGCTAATCATTCTCATTGCTGAGAGGGTTAGTCTTTTACAATTTACTCTACCATTACCTGTAGCCAGAACTCTCCGGTGTCTTGGAATATAAGAAAAGCTTTCTTATTCTCAAGCCTATGTGTGTTGTAGTTTTTGGTTGTTTCAGGCAAAAAGAACCTAAGTCATGCAAATAGACAGTAATTCACAATGGATAAACTATAATGCCAACAACATGTGGGGTGGGAGTGGGGAACTTCACTAGAACTATTTTTGATTCAACTTTACCTATACTAAATTAAATTAGAAATATTTAACAGGGGAAGGAAGCACATATGACCATTTTGTTTACTTACAGGTAAAACTATTTACAAAGTGTTTCTACAATATTCATAAAGACAGAAAGAAATGGAAATACTACCTTTACACTGAGGAGGGGCACTACTCCACCTGCCATTCCCAGAACAAATAAGCTTACTCTCTCCAACAAGTGAATATTCTTCTGGTCCTTTTGAATGATTACAACTGTAAGTTATTAATTCATTATATTCTAATATATCCCTGTGGCTATTCGTGTGCTTTCCATTTTTTATTTGTCCAGGTGATTTACAGTAAACCTCTGAACGAGGAAAAAAAAGAGGTAATAAAGCAAAAGGAATGGTGATTAAGATAGCATTAGTCCTATGAATTGCCTTCTGTTAATTTGTAAGATGATTTCTACTACTTCTGAATACAACATCCATTTAGACAGTTTCTGTGAAAAACTGTATTATCCAAAATTCAAACCATGTAGAAAGGAACTTTCAGAAAAGAACTTTTTAAATACCTACATTTATCTGGAAGGCCGAGCTACGTTTTGTTCTAATCATCAAAGATGCTGGAAATTTAATGATAAAATATGCTTGTGATTAAAAATAAAGTCAGTACTAGTTGAGAAAGGCTTTATACTTCATAAAGTTTTGGCAAGTCCTTTAATACATCTCTTCTCAGTTTCCTCATCTATCAAAAGGGGATCATAGTATATATACCTCATGGGATTGTTTACATGACTTAGCATCTGGCACATAAGAGTGTAGGTCATTTTTAGCTATTGTTAATATTCTTTAGATCAATATAAATTGGAGGTTCACAATAACACCAAGATACTGTTTTTTTTTCACTTTCATGCTTAGGAGTATACAGTGAAATTCTCTAAGGCTAAAAATTGTGTGATAATGTAACAGACTGAATCCAGATATCTTCCTTTAAGCCTTTAAACAATGTCACCCTTCCAAGTATTTGTTTTGAGAAAGTTTTAATTTTTATAAAAATTATTTTGCATAGGTCAACACATATAGAGTTTGCTGTTCTTCTTTATATATATATAGATAGATATATTTTAGAGTTTGGTGTTCTTAAGTGAATTAATAAATAATTATTTTAAAAATTTCTAAGTTTTGAATCCAATATAATGAATACCAACAGACATAACCTACATAAAGAAAAGTTCCTTGGGACCTTTGTTATTTAAAAGCATAAAGGGATCCAGGGGGCCAAAAATTTTGAGGACTGCTGGTCTAAATTAGTCTAAAGTGAGAATTTACTTACTTTCACATTTTGGGACAGTATCATTCCACTTCACATCATTTCCAACAAGAATACAAAGTATAACTTTGTTCTCAACTAAGTAATAACTAAATGAGAAAAGAAAAACTTACTGTTTTCTTTATCAGTTAACAAGATGAACAGAATAATGAATAAATTTTATATGGTTGTTTTTCTGTAGTATAACAGTTTAAGGAAGAAGCTTCTTAAATGACATAACATAACAAAATGATATCCACATCTGCAATTTAATCAAATACAGAGTTTCTGCATGTGAGCCCACACTGGCCAAAAGCAAAGACATCTAAATCAATCTGTCACGCCTGCCAGTCTGGTCTCTTTGCTGTCTCTGGCAATCATATTACATGTTCATTTCTATGCCTTTGCTCACGACATTCTGCTCAGTAAGGATAATAACTGGCCCTAGAGCTTGCCTGCCTGCATTCAAGCCCCAGGTCTATGACTGACATGTTATTTGAGCTTTGGCAAGTCCTTTAGTGTGTCTCTTGCTCAGTTTCCTCACCTATCAAAGGGGATCATAGTATATATACCTCATGACATTGTTTACATGATCTTATGTGCAACTGGCACATAAGAGTGCTAAGTCATTTTAAACTACTGCTAATATTCTTTAGATCAGAATATCTTTCTAAGAATAGCTCAAGAATACTACTGCATAATGAATCTTCTCTGATTGAAATTATAGGGCTCTCTCCATGCTGGACTCTCACTGGACCATGAATACTTCTATTTATTCGGTATTTGTCATTTACTATTAAAAAATGGTCAGTGAATCTGCTTGTTCATGGCTCCAGTTGCCTTTTCCATCAAGGCTCATACATTTTCTCTACATTATAGTGTTAAGAATAGGATTCTGGGAAAATGGCAGAGTAGGGAGTGCTAAGTCTGTTTCCCAACTAAACAACAATTGCAGTGGCAGATCTGCCTGATGTAATAATGACTTCAGAATTCTGGAGGCTGTTGAAGGCTTGCAACTTCCAGGGGAACACTTGGACAGGAAAGTTGCACCAATTTCAGCTCTTAGGAAAACAGCAGCTACCCACTCCTGTACCCTCAGCAATGTGGCAGGCAGCTGTACATGTATTCCTAGAGCAGCTTATATGCAGCTTACAAGAGCTACAGTGGCAAAAAAAGACCCTATCCTCCAAGTACCAAGATCTGCTCTGATTATTGTTGCTGCTTCTGATCACAGAGATGCAGACAAAGAGGTCGGCAGCTATTGTCACACCTCTTCTTACTCTTGCAAGCCCCTTCCTAACTGAAGTGACTCCCAGGGGATTTAAGGTCCAGTGCCCTTTGCCCACACTTCATTTTTCACTTTTTCCTTCTCAGGAGTCAGACATTAAAGACTAGACGTTCAAAAACAACTGCATATGTGGGGAAAATTAGAACATGAGCATGCATGCTCAGGGAAAGGTTCAGAAAAGACCTGAGAAGATCTTTAGTTTACATCTCAAGCTGATCCTTGGCACAGAGACATCCTACAATCATCAAAAAAACAAAACTAATAAACTGAAGCAATACCAAAACACAGCGAGTTCTAAGGAAGGGGGTGAATCTGATTTCCAGAGTTACCACATTATCACATTTCAATGTCTAGTATTTAACAAAAAATCACAAGGCATAGAGGAAAGAGAATGGCAAAGAAAACAGGAAGTCTCTAAAAGAAAAAAATAAATCAATAGACAGTGTCCTGAAAAAGCCCTGAAGGCAGATTTACTAGACAAAAACTTCAAAATAACATTCTTAAAGATGCTTAAAGAATTAAATGGGGAAATGGAGAAAGTCAAGATAATGATGTGTGAATGAAATGGAAATATCCCTAAACAGGCAGAAAAACTAAAAAGAAGCCAAAAAAATTTTGGAGCTCAAGAGTACAGTAACTAGTATGAAAAATTCACTGAAGAGATTAAAGGCAGATTTGAGCAGCAGCAAAAGGAATCATGAACATGAAGATAGGACAACGTAAATCACTGAGTTAGAGGGACAGAAGAAAAAGAGAGTGGAGAAAAGCAAACAGAGCCTAAGGGACCTGTGGGACATCAGAAGTGCACCAAGACACCCACTGTGGGAGTCTCAGAAGGAGAAGAGTAACAGAAAGGTAGAGAGAGAGTATCTGAAGAAATGGTGGCTGATGACTTCCTTCCCAACTTTGATGAAAGACATGAATATAAACATGCAAGAAGTTCATGACCTTAGGTACAATGAACTCAAAGAGACCCACACTAAGACACACATAATAATCAAACTTTCCAAAGACAAATAGAATCTTGAAAGCAGGTACAGATTGATGAATCAGAGGCCCTAAATAAGGTTATGAGCAGAATTCTCATCAGAGACTTTGGAGGCCAGAGGCTTCATAATTTAAGAGATTAACACATTTAAAGAAAAAAATAATTGGTGTAAAACCGAGCACTACTATAATTTTCGTTTAACCCCAAATCATGCTTTCTATGTAATTTAAGAGACCAACACATTTAAAAGAACCATTAACTTATGCTTTGGGACATACAATGTACAAATATGCAATTTTGTGACATAAACAACCAAATGGGGTGGAGATAGAGCTATAAAGATGGAGGGTTTTTGCATGTTATAAAGTTAAGATGACATAAATTCAAATTAGAGTGTTATAATTTTAGGATATTAAGAGTAATCCCCCTAGTAACCACAAAGAAAGAGCCGCAGAACACACATAAAAGGAAATGACAAAGGAATTTAAATATTTCATAACAAACAGGCAAATAAAACAAAAGGATAGTAAAGCAGGAGATGAGGAACAATAAAAGTCAAAAGGCATATACAAAACAAATAGCAAAAGGACAGAAGTAAGCCCCTCCTCATCAGTAATTACTTCAAATTTAAATAGATTAAACTTTCTAATTAAAAGCAGAGATTGGCAGAATGGATGAAAACACATGATCCAACTATATGCTGTCTACAAGAGACTCACTTGAGATCAAAAGACAAAACAGGTTGCAAGTGTAGGCACGGAGAAAGATATTCTATGCAAATAGAAACCCAAATACTACTACTAGACAAAATAGACTTTCAATCAAAAAGGGTACAAGAGACAAAGGACATTATATATTAATAAAATGTTCACATAGCAAGTAGAACAGAAACATGCCACCTAATGACAGGCCATCAAAATACATAATGCACAAACTGACAGAATTAAAGAAATACTTATTTCTACATAATAGGAATCTCTACAATAATAGTTGGAGACATCAATACCCAACTCACAATAATAGGTAGAACAACCAGAGAGAAGATAATAAAAATAGAGGACTTCATTCTCTGTTGTTATACATAAGATTTATATAAGACTTCCTTCAAATCTGAGAAGTTGGCCATTTAAAATAGGTTGTAATAAGTTGACAAGGATAAAATCACCATGATTACCATACTTTTTTGATGCTTACAATAAGCTTATTAGCTATAGTCTAAGTATTGTACAATTTTGCTTTCCTTCAATTTAAATTTCTTTTCATTAATTGCATATCATGACCATCTCCATAAAAAGCCCAAGAATTGTTTGACCACAAGCACAACTTGTCACAAAGGAAACAAAATGCAATCAACTTTATAGGAATGCTTAAGAAGAGAAATAAAACAGAAATGGAATCAGTAACATTTACCTTATATCTTCTAAGGACTAACTTACCCTTCATTACAAAAAAAATGAGCTTCTGATTCGTATTCAAAGGTTTTATTTGGGGAATATGCTTCACCATGTTTTACTACTGGACTTGGGCATTCTTTTTCTACAAGAAAAATTACAATTTCATTTTGAATACCAATTTCAAAACAGATCTGAATCAAGATTAAAGTTCTACACTGCTTCTTGAAATTCATGCACTATTATTTTCGATTATAAAGACAAACCTAAAATTCACATTTAACCAGGTAAGCAATTGCCAAGAAATGATATATTGGGATATGTCTCATAGCCTGAAAAGACGTATTGCTATCTAAAATCTAGTTTTACATGAGAAAATCTTCATTGTCATACCAGAAAAATGAATTCTAAGATATGTAAACATCGCTAGAGAAAGCAAAAGTAAAAAAACAAGAAAAGGTTTTGTTGACTTACTTAAACATGCTTCCACCATAGGAGTAGTCCACGTGTTATCAGGTTTACAAACACCCGACATCACATGAATAGTGAAGTGATAATATCCTGGGACACACTCAAAATATATTCTCTCGCCAATATAATATTTGTTTTTAATTGCACCCTTGACCCTCATATTAAAGTATGTTGGTGGCCTACCACAGGCATCTAGGGATAAGAGAATAAGAACATGAAAATGAAGTATTTTCTCTCTTTCACCATCCAGACTATGATCTGGCAGCAGGTCGGTAACAACTGGACAAACGCATAGAAGGTTCTGGGCAAGATTTTAAGTGATCGTTCCATACTTTTAGCCAAGTGGTGGTGGGAGTGGAGGACGTACTTTCCTTATTTTATTTAACTAACACACTATTAGCTTTTGATTTGTTGGGGAATAGGCTGAAATTTTCATTCAACAAATAAACTGAAGACACAAAATCCTCCTCCACTTCCCAGTTCACTTCAGAGCTCACTGCTTCTCTAAGAAGTCTTCTATACTCAACAGCCGTGCTCAGAATATTCTTCCTGAGTCTGAAACACAAACTGATAATACCTCGTCACTTCAGGCCCAGGCTCCTCTCGGAAGGCAAGATCCTAGCAGTCGGGGGTCACATGCCTCATTTTTCCGCTACTCGCTGTGCCCAGTGGGTGCTCAAGAAAGGCTACAGTTAAGAGGTGGTTATTAAATAGCACTGTGGACTTCACACCATCACTACTAAAGTATTTCAAAGTAGAAAATTTCATTTCCTGTTTTATATTAGTGAACTGAACATTTATAAGTGTTTAGAGGACATTTAAACATCAGAATTTACTACTTTGAAAAGCCTCACATGAAAAGAACAAAACTAAACCCTGCTTTCTTGGATATTATTTAAATTGAACCTTTCTTCTCTGATCAGTCCTGCATTCATTCCCTTAGAAGCTCCCTGAGGTAGCTGTCTGGGCTGTTTATCCAATATACCCCTACAGTAAAGCTACTCTATTGATGTGCTTTTAGAATTTTTCTAAAAATTTTTGGGGGAGAGGGGAGGGGTTTCCTCCCTAAAACAGTGCCCTTTCTCCTTCAGCCACTCCTCTTCCGGTTTATTAACTGCGGGCTAGAAAATTTAACAAATCCATTGGAATAATTTTGTACAATATGTGATGGAGACACAGCCAGTAAAATCCCAAAAGGCTAAATGAACATAGAGGCCCCTCCTATCAGGTTAAGGGCGTTAGGAGAAAGGAGAGAGACCTTATTCTGATCCCTGAGGAAGCTCTTCTTTCTTCCTCCCTGGATCTCCATCTTACTTCAGATGGAGAGACCGGTCAAGAGAACGCTAACCAACTGAAACATTACTCTCCTTTCGTATTATATCCTAAATTCTAAAATTCTGTGTAAGTACACTGTCCAACATTTCATTTACATTCTGTCCTGAAATCTACCTACTGGCAAATGTTTTCCACATTTCCACTGTGCTGACCTTGGTAACTAAGTGTTCCTCAGTTAACTTGCCCCCCAAAAAACAAAAGGCCAAGGAAAAGCCACAAAAATTAAAAGCATTGTTTAAAAGCAGTATTAGTGTAGACTTGGATTTTATTAACATAATTAAATTTACTGAATACCCGAGTCAGACATTGTCATTTTACAATCGGAAAATACAGTGGGCTAGAGGTGCTAAATATTTCCATCCTAGGTAAAAATACATAACATCTTTGGACAACATGCTGGTTATTTAATTATAAAAGTATCCCTTGTTTTCTGCATTCAGTTTCAGTAACCAGTTGAAAGCAGACAAAGAAACGAGGATTCCTAGTATGACTTTCACACCTAGAGCTCTGCATGGAAAAAGAAATCTCAACTGGATAGTTGAATCTATTCACTAATTTGAAGTATTCCTTCTTGCTGACATTCATCATGAAAGACATGCTTTCAACAATGTGCAGAGTTTAAAATGTGGTTTGGGAATCAGTTGACTGCAACCTTTATACACTGTAATAACTGAGTCCAGTATCACACTTTTTAAAAAATCAAATTGCTTCTCTTGCTCCAAACATGGAATTTCTTCCCTATGAAGATTTTCAAACTAAACATTCCCAGTTCAGAAAAACAGCACCTTGACTTAGTTTTTTCTAGATAATTTACAACATGATTATTATTAGGCTGCTCTGCTACATCGTAACAGTATATACCATTAATTAGTAAAGCAGGCTGCACTCAGAAAATTCCCCAGTGTTCCACGTGAGCTTCAGGCAAGTGAAATAGTGCTCTAGCACGGATTAAGAGAACTGTTCGCCTTCCCTGTATGTGCAAAAAGTGCAAGCGCTCACTAAACCTGCACATATTAATATAACACCCTCTGACTGGGCCACACACACCCCAGCCCGCATCGGTACCTTGAGAAAACCGTGGTCTCTGACCAACTGGAACTGGATGAAACTTGACTGTCCTGCTCCCTCTCCCACTGTCCACACAACCCATTTATAACTTTCTATGCTTCATGGAAAAGCAGGCTCTGGCGTCTACACCTCACTTCCCATTCCTTTCTAGGTCTACAGAAGTCACTTTCGTCCTAGAGCCTGGTTTACCAAGCGCTAAACTCAACCACATGTTCTTTCAAGCCTCCATATGAAGTCAGTGGTGGGCTTCCTCGCCCCACAAGTGACCGCAGGACCCACAACTTCTCTAAAGCACATTCGAGGCAACACCAGCCAGAGTTTCCCAGCCTGGCCCAGACTGCATGGCACCCCACTCACCCAGGCATCACCCCGCCTAGGGAACACAGGGAGAGGCTCTCCGGGGCGCTGCACGGGCCCTGGCACCTCCCCACGCACCTGGGCCGCAGCAACAGCCCTCAACACACAAAACTGGTCTGCGCTCCGCATCGCCACTGGCTCTGTTCAGGAAACACCCAGCGAGCTTTCGCGAGGCGCACCCCGGTAAACGCCAGCCGTGCCACACCGTGCAGACCCACGCCAGCTCCCAGTTCGGGGGCTACAAGGCCCCGCACACCAGACCCCGGCCCACCCACCCGCGCCTCCCACGCCACCCACCCAGCGAAGCTGCCCCGTCCTTGCCAACAGTCGGCCGCTCCCGGGTCGCCCCAGTTGGCCGGCGGAGCGCACGCCTCCTCCAGGCTCCCACCTGAGGATACGGGTAGCAGGAGCACTAGAGCCATCGAAAGGATCCCAGCGAAGCATCGAGAAGACGAGGGACTCTCGGAGCGGCCCGGAGGCGCGCTGCGCGGCGCGCAAAGCGCCGTCATTTTCAGAGAGATCAGAGCGAAACCGGCTGCCGGCCGCGCACGAACCTGTCAGAGCCCAGTTACCACACGCAACAATCCCCATTATCTCTCAGAGACAAACGCGGCACCACAGGTGGGCGTGGCCGGGACCCCGCGCGAGTGAAGGCAAAAAACACCTACTCTGGACGGCTGGGCCAATCAGCGACCTGCAAAGCGGGGCCTCGGCTGGCAGCGGCCGGGTAAGTCGGGGGACGGGGCGTGGCCCTGACTGGAGCCGCAGGTTGAGGGAAAGCCGCACCTCGAGTGCGCGCGCCGCCCGGGCTCCTCCTACGTGACCGGGCCTTGTGGGGCCACGCCCTTCGCAGACCTTCCCGGAAGCCCAATGGCGGCTGGTTGTGGCCGGGGAAGGGCGGGTTCACCGCGGAATTCGTAGGCCCCGCCCCACCTCCGGAAGGGTGGGAGGGAAACCAGAGCTGACGAGGTGCTGGTCACAATTCAGTGGTCAGAAAATGGATAAATTAAATTTTGCATTTAAAATTTTGATCTATAAAGATGCAAACCCACTAAAAACTACAGACTACATATTTAGAATGTGTCAATACACGTTTATTAGTATGCTAACTCTTAAAACTTATGCTTTCTTAGTTTTTAGTATATTCTGAATCCATATAAAAGTAAGCTAATTCCTTTTATTATAAAATCATTATTTTATTTAAATTTTAGTATTGTTTTAATACAGAACACAGTACAAAGTGCTTTTGAAATAGAGCTTAGGAAATATCCAAGGCTTAATTTTATTTCTGAGGTTTCTCTTGAATTGTCTTAACGCATCTCCCCTATAGTAGTTTAATGCCATTTTAAAACAGAAATTACATTTTATCCCTAGAGAAACTGAAAACTGATATTAGCATATATTTTAATCCGGTCTATCTAAAAGGAGTGGGTTCTGCACTATAGAAATCAGTCTGTCGGAGAAGGAAATTTGTGTATATAAAGACTCTCAAAGTGAATAAAAATATTGTGGAATCACTGGGTAACATAATTATATTTGACTTGTTTTCCATATCTTCATCCTGCAGTTTCCCATTTCTCCTTAATGAGCCCACCACATTACATACATTTGAAAATTAGGAAGAAGACAAACTTGTAAACAGAAATCCTAACTCACACCATCTTCCTTTAAGCAATTCAGACTATTTATATATCTAAGTGCAGTCCTTTCCTTGCCTAACACACTGTGTGCTCTCAGCACAAGAAAGGGGTTAGAGTGGCAACAAACCCAAATAAGAGCTGGAGCTTCACTGTAACATAGGAGAGTGTCAGCATCTTCATATGCACACGTTTGCATCTCTGTGAAGTCACTTCCAAGATTGAATGAGTCTCAGATCTTATTCTGTTGAAATGAAGTGGCTGATTTCCAGCCAACCATCTGAATTTGAGGTGTTCTCCAACTTTATAGTACTTTGTCAAGGAAGACACTGAAATAACAGGATATTTCTATTTAGATGACAGCATAGGAGATACTGAAATACCCAGAATTTATATGCTGATAATGTCTATGCTAGCATTACACATGCATTACAAGTTCAGAAGAAATGTTTATTGCTCTCTGGGTGTGGTTGCTGTGGAGGGCAGAAGAAAGTATGGCATACATTGAGACACTGAATAGAGAAAAGAGAGACTAATGAGCAACTTGACCTTCCCTTCTTTTGTCAAAGGAAAAATGATCTTAGAGAGGAGCAGCTAAATAAAAAAAGCCTCACTCCAGAAAACATAGAGGTTCCTCATTGAACACGCAAAATATTTCCTTGAGCCTCTTTTCTGAACCATGGTTGTGCCAGGGGGAAAGAAAACAGTAGCTGGTAGTTTGGAGGGACTTTAGCTTCAGAAACCACATCCTCCCCTAAGCACAGTCAAGACGGAAAGGAGGGCTGTGTGGTCCAAGGTGCCCGAGGGCTTCCTGGCCGTGCTGAAGTCTCCCCTCTTCCTTATGGCCAGGATCACTGTCCTTCCACCAGAGCCCCGAAGAGGCCCATCAGCTCACCTGACACCCCCACTTGTTATCGCCACCTCACCACTCTTTCTACCTCAGGAGACTCCCCGACATCCTCTGTTACCTGCACCACTTTTGAATATTCTCATGTCCTTCAACACGTTGGCTGTGTCTTTGCAGTGGACCTGGGTACCTGTGTCACCCTCTCTGCCCCTGCACCTGGCCTGGCTACACAGGCCTTAGGTTTGGTTACAGACTCTCACTGACTCCTTGTCTACCATTTGTTGCCACAAATGATTAAACTTGCTTCTGTGGAATGTTGTGGTCCAAATTCCAACCTTAGAAGGGAAATTGGAAACATTCTTTAAGGACTTCCTACTTTATTTTAAAAAGGTGGTCAACAGTCCTCATGCACACTTTGACATGCACCTTAAGGCAAATGAACATTTTCAAAAAGTTGAGAATAGATGTAATATTGATTAATTTGTTCTTAAATATTCACCATACATCTCATTTGATTAAGTCTATACTGAGGTAATTGTGAGAAATTTAAAAAGGGGTCCTTATTGAAGTTAAATTAGCATCGGAACGAAAACACATAAGCACAATGTTTGGTTCATTATAAATAATCAATATTTGAAAAATGAATCAATGTGCAAGTAAATAAAGGCAAAAGAGTTAAAAGGCAAAAAACAACACATGAAATATCAAATACAATGCTATGTGTTTCGATACAGTTTGGCACAAATGATGGAGGAAATGGTTGTCGTTTGGTGAAAAATAGCCAGGACTCAATATTGTACAGTCAAGGTATAACCTTATATTGTATAGTCAAGTTATTACCCTTCAAATGTAAAATAATATGCAAAGAGGCTTCAGAGTACCTGAGTATTCTTACATTGAATGTAGGCTCTGTAGTCAACTTTTATATTCTTTATATTTTTCTGTGTTTTCCATAATGTGTATTTACTACTCTTAAAAGAAAATAGTACATTTTAAAAATGGTGTAGACAGGAAATGCTGTGAGTTCAATGAGAGACATCACATTGGACTGGGGTTGGGGGAGCTTCACGGGTGAGTGACTCTGACCTGGGTTAATGCAACTTAGATTGGAAGAAAGGTAGACAGGTGTTTTAGGCAGGTAACCTGTGGGAATGAGGTGAAATCATGTGAGATTTTAATCACTTTTGTGGAATATTTTTAAGTGAAGTTTTATGAAGACAACTCTTCCCCTCACAGTCCTCTGTAGTTTCGTCTGTTTATTGTGGTAGCAGGCTGGCTGTGATTCATTTTGCACAACTTTTCATCCTAGTACCCAATAGTAAAGCAATTGAATGCATTACCCAAGAACCTTGGAAGCCAAACTTAAGGCATCTTTGAAAGCACATATTCTGTTTTATTTTGTCTTAAAATCTCCTCCGTTATTTTCTGTTCTCTTGTATATATATTTGTGTTATTATAGGAATAATGCTATTTACCCTTTACACTATTGGCACAACACTGGAAAAACTAGTTTAGGAATGCCATGCTATTTTCACTCATGACTTCTATATCCCCTTGATCTACTAGCCACCCATTCCAAAGCATGTGCATACACATATTTGAAGAGGATCTGTTTTGGAAGATCATTAAAGCTTCAAAATGTAAATTACTAATTTTGAGTTTTTAGAAGTAACACACATTTCATTTACTTCCATAAACATTTGTGAAAAAGAAGCCATTGGGCAGAATGAAAGTGAGTAGAAGCCAAACAAGAAACACAGGGCTTTGCAAATCCATTTAGGAGAAAAATGACTAGATCCTGTATATTTTTGTTTAAAACAATTTGAATTGCCTTTATCTTGACTAACCATAAAATGCCTCTCCCAGCACTTACCTTATTCCTGTGGTCACGTCTACTGTCCTCTGTTGAATTTAGTATTTCTGACCTGTAGATATCAATGGCAGGTTCAGATTAAAGCACACTGATATGGGAAAGTAGGACAGGAAGAAAGGAAATTGACTAACAGGTGTTGTTTGTACTGCTTCCGATGGGAGGGCCTAAGTCCTTCCTAGGTCTTGTGGAACTGCTGCTTCTGACAGCGCCCTGAGGACCTTATGGTAGGAGATGTCAGGACTCCCGGGAATAGCAGAGGGACAAGGACCTGGTAAATGACTGGCTAAGGTGGAGGAGGGGAAATAGTTTGGCTCTGTATGCCACGCAGGGTATGCGTCTCTGTGGCTTCTCAACCCTGCTGTTGTCGTGAGAGCAGCCGTGGACACTAGGTGAATGCGTGGGTGCAGCTGTGTTCCGGTAAAACTTTATTTTACAAAAATGGTCACTTTTTAGTGCACTGATTGCTAGTATTCAATTGTGCGTTGTGGGCGCTTTGAGTGGCAGAGAAATTTCCCTTTCACCGGGAACCTTTAGCAAACAGCCAAACGTTTACTCAGAACCCATTCTGGCCAGGCTGCCGTGAATAGGTGGGATGAAGGGGGAAGGTGTGGTAACAAGCCCACGTGGAGGAGGACAGGAAAGGGAGGCAGGCACAGGGGGCCAGGGCGGCAGAGAATTCAGGGCCAGTCGGAAAGCAGGGGACGACGTAGAGCAGGAGTCTCCTGGGGACCCGGGAGACGTCCTGCACATTTAAAAGATGTAGGATTTGGGAGGACACCCGTGTGGCACAGGCTTGGGGTCCACAAGAAAGAGAAAAGCTTACTACTTCTGGAAGGTTCACAGCATAAATGCCCAAAACTGTCAGAAAGCTTTGGAAAAACTGCCTGCGCACAGGCCTGACCGAGTCGTCCCCCCAACCACTGCACACAACATTAATCCAAGAGGAGCCAGCCACCCCCAGGGCATTTCCCCTCGGGCGGGACTTCCTGACGTCTTAGGTATCAGGGACCCAACTGGTGCACTATTATCATATTCAGATCGTGGTTCCGCTTTGAATTGTTGAAACATTTTGAATTCAATATATGTACTAGGTTTTTATATGTACACTATATGTACCTGTTATTTTCCTGATTTGTTTGCAGAGTTTGAAGATGAACACCGTTGCCTTCTTGGGGATGTAAACAGATAATCCCTTTTTTAGATTTTTCATCTATATTATTGCTAATTGGCAGAGGAAAAAAATAGAATAATTTAATTATATAAATTTCAGTTTTGAAAGAAAGAAATCAGCAGCTTTCACTTTGAAACTTAGGGCACAATTTGCTCCAAGTTTCTGAAACCTTGGCAAGGCATCTAAAAGGAAAAATACAGCCAAATCCCCTCTTTCAAGATTAAAACTTGGATTAGGAAATAATACTAAAACCATCTGCGTATTTGTCAGAAGACTCTAAATTTGTTATAGGCAAGTGTCTGTGCCTTAAAACAATACATTTCAGAGTTTCAAGTAATTGTGAGTGGTGGTGATGTATACCATAAGAATAGTGGCATTTGTACCTCACAGTGTGTGTGGCTTTGCACTGTGATCTTACACAGGCTCTTTTTTCTCTTACAGTGAAGATATAAGTTCTATTCTCTGTACATTTAACATCCACAGTTAGGAGATATCACAGGAGTTGTACTGAAGCTATATGAGAACTGACAGTAAATGAAAGTATTTAATCACTTTTAAATGTCAATAATAGCACTCATATAATTAGCAATTACATTTTCTGACATTCATCACAGGAGAGGCACCATTTTAAGTGAGGTAGCAATTATTTCTGTCCCTGCTGTAATATTTCACTTTTTAAAAGTTTATATTGGCTCCCCCTGTGAAAAATCAAAACTTCCATTTCTGTAAAGGCGGTTTTAGGAGACTGCATTTGTTTAGAACTCTTGCTATAGAGAAACCCTTCACTTAAAGTTGTGAACTGTTTCTCATGGGTATGGAATTTGCTCATCAAGCTTATAACATGGATCTCATTGATTTTGTTCTGATTAAACCAACCAGTACAAAAGCTTTGTATGTTCTCTTCCCAGAAAACAATATTTTTTTATTTATATGTAATCCTTCCAAGGTTTTTGCAAGTTTAAAAAGTAAGTGGGGTTTCCTAATTATTTGTTTTTAATACTCAAAAGCAAATCCTCAATTTTTGCACATCAGCAGCCTGTGATATGTGTGTCACCTCTAGTACCTTGACGGGGTCTGTGCATAGAAATAGGAGTCTGGAATGTCTCAGGCAAACTAGAACACCTACTGCCTCATTAACGCCTTTGGAAAAATTCCTTCAGCCTTTTTTCTCATTGCTACAATTCAAATCTTTTAAATTCTAAGCTTTTAAAAAAACTGTTCTAGGTATCATACATATTTCTTTTAGTGTGAATACTTCTCTATCCATAATGTGCATCAAGGGCCTTCTTTATAAGAATTTATTTTATCTAGTACTTTTGTTTTTGAGGTTTTCTTTTATTTCTCTTTGGCTTCCAAGAGGAGGCAAGTAAGGTTATAAACACATTCTAGGAAAATACAGCTGAACTTACCCTTTTCTGCACTTTAGAATTACCCAACAGGAAACAATGAAGGGTGAAATGAAGAAGGTCGCACTAAAGAAAATGCCTAGGCAGTAAAACAAGGTAATTAAATGCATGGAAAACATGACCCATAAGCTTTAAATTCTTACCTAAATGTCTAGTCCCACTAGAGGTTGCCAATGGGTATTTTTTTTAACCATAACTATAAATTCTGCTTTTAAGAAGACCCCCTACCCTTATGCTTACCTTGAAGATTTCCCCTCTGTTTTTGGTTTAATCTAGTGCAAGTCTTACTACCGAATGGCTACAGAGGAGGAGTGAGCACAGCAGTTTTATAACCTTTAGTCTAATAGCAGCATTTCAACAAGTGGGTGGAAAGAGCACCCGACCGCCATGTTCCTGCACATGATAATGCAACTTAGATTGGAAGAAAGGTAGACAGGTGTTTTAGGCAGGTAACCTGTGGGAATGAGGTGAAATCATGTGAGATTTTAATCACTTTTGTGGAATATTTTTAAGTGAAGTTTTATGAAGACAACTCTTCCCCTCACAGTCCTCTGTAGTTTCGTCTGTTTATTGTGGTAGCAGGCTGGCTGTGATTCATTTTGCACAACTTTTCATCCTAGTACCCAATAGTAAAGCAATTGAATGCATTACCCAAGAACCTTGGAAGCCAAACTTAAGGCATCTTTGAAAGCACATATTCTGTTTTATTTTGTCTTAAAATCTCCTCCGTTATTTTCTGTTCTCTTGTATATATATTTGTGTTATTATAGGAATAATGCTATTTACCCTTTACACTATTGGCACAACACTGGAAAAACTAGTTTAGGAATGCCATGCTATTTTCACTCATGACTTCTATATCCCCTTGATCTACTAGCCACCCATTCCAAAGCATGTGCAAACACATATTTGAAGAGGATCTGTTTTGGAAGATCATTAAAGCTTCAAAATTTAAATTACTAATTTTGAGTTTTTAGAAGTAACACACATTTCATTTACTTCCATAAACATTTGTGAAAAAGAAGTCATTGGGCAGAATGAAAGTGAGTAGAAGCCAAACAAGAAACACAGGGCTTTGCAAATCCATTTAGGAGAAAAATGACTAGATCCTGTATATTTTTGTTTAAAACAATTTGAATTGCCTTTATCTTGACTAACCATAAAATGCCTCTCCCAGCACTTACCTTATTCCTGTGGTCACTTCTACTGTCCTCTGTTGAATTTAGTATTTCTGACCTGTAGATATCAATGGCAGGTTAAGATTAAAGCACACTGATATGGGAAAGTAGGACAGGAAGAAGGAAATTGACTAACAGGTGTTGTTTGTACTGCTTCCGATGGGAGGGCCTAAGTCCTTCCTAGGTCTTGTGGAACTGCTGCTTCTGACAGCGCCCTGAGGACCTTATGGTAGGAGATGTCAGGACTCCCGGGAATAGCAGAGGGACAAGGACCTGGTAAATGACTGGCTAAGGTGGAGGAGGGGAAATAGTTTGGCTCTGTATGCCACGCAGGGTATGCGTCTCTGTGGCTTCTCAACCCTGCTGTTGTCGTGAGAGCAGCCGTGGACACTAGGTGAATGCGTGGGTGCAGCTGTGTTCCGGTAAAACTTTATTTTACAAAAATGGTCACTTTTTAGTGCACTGATTGCTAGTATTCAATTGTGCGTTGTGGGCGCTTTGAGTGGCAGAGAAATTTCCCTTTCACCGGGAACCTTTAGCAAACAGCCAAACGTTTACTCAGAACCCATTCTGGCCAGGCTGCCGTGAATAGGTGGGATGAAGGGGGAAGGTGTGGTAACAAGCCCACGTGGAGGAGGACAGGAAAGGGAGGCAGGCACAGGGGGCCAGGGCGGCAGAGAATTCAGGGCCAGTCGGAAAGCAGGGGACGACGTAGAGCAGGAGTCTCCTGGGGACCCGGGAGACGTCCTGCACATTTAAGAGAAGCTGCAGGACTTGGGGGAACACCCGTGTGGCACAGGCTTGGGGTCCACAAGAAAGAGAAAAGCTTACTACTTCTGGAAGGTTCACAGCATAAATGCCCAAAACTGTCAGAAAGCTTTGGAAAAACTGCCTGCGCACAGGCCTGACCGAGTCGTCCCCCCAACCACTGCACACAACATTAATCCAAGATGAGCCAGCCACCCCCAGGGCATTTCCACTCGGGCGGGACTTCCTGACGTCTTCGGTATCAGGGACCCAACTGGTGCACTATTATCATATTCAGATCGTGGTTCCGCTTTGAATTGTTGAAACATTTTGAATTCAGTATATGTACTAGGTTTTTATATGTACACTATATGTACCTGTTATTTTCCTGATTTGTTTGCAGAGTTTGAAGATGAACACCGTTGCCTTCTTGGGGATGTAAACAGATAATCCCTTTTTTAGATTTTTCATCTATATTATTGCTAATTGGCAGAGGAAAAAAATAGAATAATTTAATTATATAAATTTCAGTTTTGAAAGAAAGAAATCAGCAGCTTTCACTTTGAAACTTAGGGCACAATTTGCTCCAAGTTTCTGAAACCTTGGCAAGGCATCTAAAAGGAAAAACACAGCCAAATCCCCTCTTTCAAGATTAAAACTTGGATTAGGAAATAATACTAAAACCATCTGCGTATTTGTCAGAAGACTCTAAATTTGTTATAGGCAAGTGTCTGTGCCTTAAAACAATACATTTCAGAGTTTCAAGTAATTGTGAGTGGTGGTGATGTATACCATAAGAATAGTGGCATTTGTACCTCACAGTGTGTGTGGCTTTGCACTGTGATCTTACACAGGCTCTTTTTTCTCTTACAGTGAAGATATAAGTTCTATTCTCTGTACATTTAACATCCACAGTTAGGAGATATCACAATAGTTGTCATGAACATATATGAGAATTGACAGTGAATGGAAGTATTTAATCGCTTTTAAATTTCAGTAATAGCAATTGTGTACGTAACATTTTCTGACATTCATCACAGGCGAGGCACCATTTTAAGTGAGGTAGCAATTATTTCTGTCCCTGCTGTAATATTTCACTTTTTAAAAGTTTATATTGGCTCCCCCTGTGAAAAATCAAAACTTCCATTTCTGTAAAGGCTGTTTTAGGAGACTGCATTTGTTTAGAACTCTTGCTATAGAGAAACCGTTCACTTAAAGTTGTGAACGTTTCTCATGGGTATGGAATTTGCTCATCAAGCTTATAACATGGATCTCATTGATTTTGTTCTGATTAAACCAACCAGTACAAAAGCTTTCTATGTTCTCTTCCCAGAAAACAATATTTTTTTATTTATATGTAATCCTTCCAAGGTTTTTGCAAGTTTAAAAAGTAAGTGGGGTTTCCTAATTATTTGTTTTTAATACTCAAAAGCAAATCCTCAATTTTTGCACATCAGCAGCCTGTGATATGTGTGTCACCTCTAGTACCTTGACGGGGTCTGTGCATAGAAATAGGAGTCTGGAATGTCTCAGGCAAACTAGAACACCTACTGCCTCATTAACGCCTTTGGAAAAATTCCTTCAGCCTTTTTTCTCATTGCTACAATTCAAATCTTTTAAATTCTAAGCTTTTAAAAAAACTGTTCTAGGTATCATACATATTTCTTTTAGTGTGAATACTTCTCTATCCATAATGTGCATCAAGGGCCTTCTTTATAAGAATTTATTTTATCTAGTACTTTTGTTTTTGAGGTTTTCTTTTATTTCTCTTTGGCTTCCAAGAGGAGGCAAGTAAGGTTATAAACACATTCTAGGAAAATACAGCTGAACTTACCCTTTTCTGCACTTTAGAATTACCCAACAGGAAACAATGAAGGGTGAAATGAAGAAGGTCGCACTAAAGAAAATGCCTAGGCAGTAAAACAAGGTAATTAAATGCATGGAAAACATGACCCATAAGCTTTAAATTCTTACCTAAATGTCTAGTCCCACTAGAGGTTGCCAATGGGTATTTTTTTTAACCATAACTATAAATTCTGCTTTTAAGAAGACCCCCTACCCTTAGGCTTACCTTGAAGATTTCCCCTCTGTTTTTGGTTCAATCTAGTGCAAGTCTTACTACCGAATGGCTACAGAGGAGGAGTGAGCACAGCAGTTTTATAACCTTTAGTCTAATAGCAGCATTTCAACAAGTGGGTGGAAAGAGCACCCGACCGCCATGTTCCTGCACATGTGTCTTGTGTAAGGCACAAGGCGGTCGCTCTGCATGCAACAGGTTCTACTGATTCCCTTTGAAGCAAACTCTACCCCAAACTATTCCTCCTACGTAGGACGTCACAGAAATGGGCTTAGGAAATTGTCTTTGTGCCTTACAACTTCTGCAAGTGGTCATGACTAGCATTCTGAAGAATATTCTCAGGTTATAAACTAAGGAACAAGTTGCATTCTCCAGGCACAACCTAAGGTACCTCTGCTGCTCTTGAATGAGAACACTATTAACCCTTCCTTAAATCTCCAAACATTAAACAATTTTTGACACTGAAGAATGATTATTCATTTGTAATGTTTTTAAATTAGTACAGAACCTTTGATAAAGGACACTCAGTTTTGCTCTGAATTTATTGTTATTTTCTTTCTAACTGGAATTACAATACACTTTGATTTCTTTTTCACATTTCATTTATTATAAGTGGATACTTACTGGTGAAGTATTACAGTTCCTCAGCAAACCCTTCATGAAACTTACCAACTATAAGAGCATTACGTGAGCCTAATGGGAAAGAAAAATCACAAATACATCAGTCTGCACACAGCATGATCAAAAGGAGCTCTCAACCAGCGACACGTCATTTCAAAATCTAGTGTATCCAGTTGTACCAGCTTAAAATCCTGCAAACTACACCAGTGAGAGAGATGGACTAGCTGGTCTCTGAAGCTTGGAAGACGCTCCCTGACTCATGTTGAAACACTCTTGAAGGCCTGCCCTACCACTAATGTGCTCCTGACTTTTATAGCTCACAGGCTATAAACAAATCATTATTTATACAATGTGTGCAATAATAAAGTGATTTAAACAAAAGGCTCAGAAAAGGTCCTGAGGAGAGATGATGGGTTGAGAGGTATGAGGAGAGCATGGTTTGCCTTATTCTCATTAAGGGGTTTCTGGAAAGAATCAGGGGCTCCTATTATACTCCATAGCTCTTAGCACGTGCCGTAAATGTCACACCACATTCGATGACAGTATGGATGAAGCATGAACAGCAACCATGACTGGGCAGGGCGTACATTTCTTGCATTTGCACTTACGAGATGTACACGTGGCCAGAGGAGGGTGCCATGTGTTGTCTGCCTGGCATTGGCTCTGGGGACTTCCTTCCAGAGTATACCCATCTTCACACTCCAAAGTTACATTATCTCCATAGTGATACACTCTTCTCATTTCCAACTCCTTCTGGAATCCTTTCATAAGCTGTGGGAGGCTACATTTTACCTCTGAAATTAGAAAAATCAGAAGGAAATAGCTACTTTATTGTGAATTATTAGTTGAAACTACCATAATAGAAAGATCTATGATCTCAAACCTACTTTGCCTTCAGCAAAGATGGGCCATGTTTTCAAACAAGAAGTACTGGCACCCCTCCGATATCTTATGATTTAAAATTTTTTGACTTTGATTTCTTAGGTAAACTAAGGGAATATGGAATACACTATACACACCTACTTTTTAAAATTGAGTATATTCCCTATGCTGTACAGTGCATCCCTGTGTCTTATTTCACAAGCTGGAAGATTGTATCTGTTAATCTTTACCTATTTTGCTCATCCCCTCACCTTCCATCCCCTCTGGCAACCACCAGTTTGTTCTCTATATCTACGAGTCTGTTTCTGTTTTGTTTCATTTGTTCATTTATTTGTTTTTAGGTTCAACCTATAAGTAAAGTCATAGGGTCTGTCTTCCTCCTCACTTAGTTCACTTAGTGTAATACCCTTGGGTCCATCCATGTTGTTGCCAATGGCAGGATTTCATTCTTTTTAATACCTGAGTAATATTCCATTATATATATATATGTGTGTGTGTTTGTGTGTGTATATCTGTCCTTTTAACAAGGTTCCTGGATGCTATTGTTAAAGCTAAAGATGGAAAATAACTATTATAAAGCATACCTAAAGAGAACAATTATTAAGACAAAGTGAATCTTACTTAAATGAAAAGAAAGAACCGCCAAGAACATGGAATATATTTTTATTTTCATGAGAAGAACCTTCCCAGAGTCTCAGTTTGTATAACTAATATTTAAACAATTCCCTGAATCTTCATACTTCGTTATGTAACTAAAGCAAGGAGAAGTGAGCTTTCCAGTATCTGCAGAGCCTCAGGGGCTCTCTAACTTGTGCAATCCATTCTTTGCAGAAAAGCACAGCACAGGAGAGTCACTTACCATCTCTGTGATGGGCCTCAAATTTTCCATCCCTAAAATCAGAGGGCTGGGAGGACAAGAAGGATTTTGGAGACTTTCGGGCTGGGGGGCACCCTAGGATCCTGTAACCAGGACCGTCAGAGGACTAATAGCTCCTTCACCTTTGAAACACAGACATGTCCAAAACCCTTCCTATCTCCTCCCTGCTCTTAGCCTAGTGTTTCTAAAAAGAAAGAATAGAAAATAAATGAAATAAAAAACAAAAATCACTAACTTACAGTTTTGTAAAGTCAAAAGAACCACATTTAAAAGGAGACAGAATACAATGCCATGTTCAAAAGCAGGGCTGAGCAGTGGTCCAACCCCAACAGCCTCATGCCGGTGCCGCCTATCACAGACTAGTTACTGATGTCTATACACCGCCGTAAGAGCAAGAATTGTACCCCACCCTCCTGCCCCATCAGATTCTTTGGAAACTAACACAAATAGCTTGTAGAAACCCCAGGACCATGCCTAGTCGTATTCTACATTAATAGTTTGATAATGTTTTTAACTCCATATTTTGTACCTTTTTGGAATATTGCCAACAAATATGTTAAAGTGAGAAGCTATTTTTGCAAATAGAAATAAAGGAAATAATGCCTGGAACTTCTTCCAGGGAAGAGATGAAATAAATGCCTCATGTTGGTCTTGGAGACTATAATGAGTCCCCATATCTAGTAATTCCAGGAATTAAATGATCTCAACCTCTTTGCAGTGTAGTTGACAGAAACTGCCTTACTTAAGGCTTCATTTTCCCTCATAACAAAGTATACTTCTAAGTTCTTGTTTACCATCTACGGGAATTTGTGAGGACCAACTGTGACCCCCTGAGGTTCTTTAGAGCCGAAATAGTCTATTAGTTAAAGCCCATACAGCATTTTAAGTTGCAATTTCCGGTCTGTTTATTACTGGGAATCCACTGGCTCTTCCTACTCATTGGATGGAGTTGGGGACCCTTGGGCAGCCTTCCTTCTTTCCTTCTGTTCTGCTTTTCTCCTCCTTTTTTGATTTGCATTTCACGATCCTCTCAGAAGTGCTCTGTCAGCCTTATTAGACTCGTGCATCAATCACCCATAAAAGCCCAGCAAGAATAAGAAGTACCTTTGCAATCCTGATCAAATTGGCTCCAGGTTCCCTGGTGCGTACAGAAAATGAAGGCCTTTCCCACTAACAGGTAGCCTGGGTCACAAGCGTAGGTGACTGTCATCCCAGGGAGATAGAGAGCTGCATGTCCTCCGATGAGATGCCCGTTGCGGATCTTCGGTGGAGGTGGGCATGCTAAGGGATTGTCCCCCCAAGGCACAAGGAAAGACATTCAGTTAGACAAAGAAGTCTGAACCCGCCAACACGTGTGGTAATATCTCTATTAGAGCCGCAGGAATGGTAATATCTCTATTAGAGCCGCAGGAAGACACAAGGCACTAAATGTTTGCTGATCAGCGGGAAGCCTGATTCTCTAAACGCAGATGTCTCAGCCTTTAAACAGGTTCATGCACAAACTGCACCAGACTTGAGTACCACCAGATCTACAAACTACCAGTTCAGTGCCGTCTGTCCTCAGTGGAGGATGGAGCTTGTGTGGACAATCACAGACACAAATGACCCCTCTGATTCTCGGGTGCTGTCATTTAATGCCAGACTAATATGGAAAAGGAATGAGCTGCAGGGGCCAAGTGTGCAACCTTAAGCTCCACTTCACCAGGGCGTCCTGAGTTCCTTTTGCTAAATGTAGTCAGAGGCTGAGCAGAACACTTAGAACAGAAATAGAAATGTCTGCATCTCCATGTCTTTAATTATTTCTATAGCACCATCAATTCTGAAGTAAATTACTGCCATCAACATGTGCGTTTTGCTCTGCACACCCATCTTTCTAGTGTAAAGACCCTAGCAATAAAGATGGCATAACAGAGCATTTTCTTCTGCATTTGTTTTCAGTGCTTTCAGAATATTCCCTATAAACCTGGGCCTCACTCATTCTCTCCTTGCCAGCACACGCTCCTCACCCCCATGGGATAGGCCATCAAAGCACCAATGGGACACAGTGTGACATGTCTAGAACAGTCTGCTGTTCTCCTGGCAGGTCATTCTGTGTGTGACATTCACAGCAAAGCCATGTTCACAAGCAAAATGACTGTGAATATAGAAACCCGGAAGCTGTCACCTAGATATTCTAACCCATCTGTGGGGTGGGGCACATGCACTGACCTGCAGGACCAGAAAGCGAACAGTGAGGGGCGGGGCTGCTCCAGACCCCGGTCCCTTGACTGTCACTTGTGCAGCGGAGGGTGCCCTCCCCAAGGAGGGTGAAGGTCATCCCTCTGTCTGGGTGGGGGTCACATGTGTAAGTTACTTCTTTTCCAAAAGGAAAGACTTCCTGAGGTTCTCCTGTGTGTCTCCCATTAAGGATAGCTGGAGGATTTGGACACAGGATTTCTAGAAAGAACACAATAGATTTGGGTCCATTAGATTTTCAATCAAAATGATTACACAATAATGGTGCTTTGGGGCTGTGTTATGAATACACATTTTTCTACGAGAACACAACTAAGGTGGATGGAATGAAATGTGTGAGGCGTTTTCAGAGGAGGAGGAAACTGAGATGAGACCGGTTACAGTTTATGGCAGGAGTTCCAGGTCCTCTAGGTAGCTCCATTTTCAATCGCTTTGGGAGGTAATTTACTAATTTTTTTCCAGCAACCATTTGATTGTCTATTTTATGTCAAGCATCCTAAGATCCTGAGTCGACAATGAGGTAACAAGGCAGACAAGTTGGCCCCTAAAGATATAAAGTTCCATGCAAACCTTTGTAAATATGGACTCTCATTTTCAACAGATGGAATATTTCCTGATGACCCAAGACCATTGCCATCAGTACCAATATCAAATATACATTAGTGTCATCAGAACACACTTATCCTATAGGGCTCTTCACAGCTGAAGTAATGGGTTCCCGGGAGCCTTTTCCTTTTCTTTAGGGTTTTTCATTCTTCTAAGCTATCAGCCGTCATTTCTTCTTGCTTGTTTTTTTTTATAAGTTCTCTCCCTAAAATTAATTTGGTGCTTCTAATATAATATGATTGTAGGAATAGATAATCAAGCTTATCAGAATTGTGTGTATAAATAAAGTGAGGGCCTTAGTATATCAATGATTGACTTTCCAAACCTAGGTTTTATCTATGTGTTTGTATTTATCCAAATTTACTTATATATTTCTTTTCAGTTTATGTGTGTCACAAAGGTTGAGCCTGTTGGATGTCTGAGTTTCATATATATTGAATGTTCTTATAAAGTAGTCATCATCCTATAAGATGTCCAAATAGATTCCTAGCAAGGTATTTTAAGAAAATCCAAATGAAAATAAACATTTGCCAATCATTAGGAAAGAGGAGTTAAAAAAATACCTTGTTTTGCTTAATAAGCAGAGTAGGATAAATTGGTAATGTCTCAGTGCATAAAACACTTTTACCTATTTATCAATTTCCAAATCTTTGATCTGTTTTATTGAAGTGGGTGGTTTGGACATTTAGGACACCTCACCTCATCATTTCAAATACTGATCACCAATCTGCACCATACTAATTTATCATAGAAGTCAGTTCCTGCCATACCATTTTATATACTATTTTTTATGTGTTTGCTTGTTTATTTTCTTGCTCATTGTCTTCCTCTCCAAGTAGAAAATGAGCTCCTTAGGGCCAGGAATAAGACTTTCTCTTTTGTGCATCTCTGTGCATGGAAAGCCCTGGCACGTGCAGAGGAACCCCTTCCTCTGTAAGAACAGTGGACCACATAACAGGCTGAATCAATAGTTTAGATGTGTGAGGGGCTAAAAGGACATAAACATTTAAGAAACTCAGAAGTCAATGAATAAATAAATTTTTGTGTACCTTTATATCATCTGGTTTGTCCCCACGAAATTCAACACTGCCATTCAACTAGTGACTTAACAGATCAGTAACAGAAACACGTGATATGTAAGACCTATAAGACCTGTTTTGAAATTTTTCTACTGAACAAGTATATTATCAGTAAGTTAGTTAAATAAAGATCCAGACAATGGGTGATTCCATGTTTTCTCAGGGGAGAAAAAATTAGAGGCTATTACTCTTTCTACTCACGTTCACACACAGGAACACTACTGTTCCAAAGGCTTTTCATTCCAGCCAAAACACAGTGACTAGCAGAGCTTCCTTTTAATCGGAACCTGAAGAGAAAAAGGAGCAGCCAGTGGGTGAGTAATTCCCAGCCGTTCCTTTATTTCTTCACTGATAGATGCTCAGCTTTCTCACTTCAGCCTAAATACCATTTGGTCCTAGGTTCAGATCCAGCTAAAAGTCTCATTTCATTAGGGACCTGAATCCAGTAGCTGGCAGATACTCAGAAGCCAAATTATTCTAAAGAATCACCATATCCTGTGACTGGCAAAGCAATCAGAACTTGTACACTTCCTAGTCACCCAGACATCAGAGCCCAGTGACACCTGGAGCCACTGACCCTGAGCGGGACTCCCCAGTGTGCCCTGGACCCACATCCTATCTCTCACTGGCAGCACTCTGACACTGAACTTCCCATTAGTGGATCATGAAGAAAAACAGCTCTCGATCTGGGGGAACAAAGCAGGGAACAATGGTAACGGCCAGACAGAGGCTCACAGAAGCACACTGGACTAAACGTTATGAGAAAAAAGGATAAAAGGAAGAGCCTTTGCCACCCCCAAATGCCCAGCTTATTATTGGATCCTGCTGTCCTTCTGAAGTTCGCTGATCATTACTTGGTGGTAGGGTCTTTGAATGTCAAAGATGCAGAGGAAATCACTAAAAATATCTGCCGTGTCACCTGATGTTGATACCTCCCACGGACAGTGCATACCGCTGAGAGTACTAGACCCGCATGAACAATGCTACTACCTGAAACAAGGTCAGCCACGATGATCCCAATGTCAAAGATATTACTGGTACAAAATGTGTGACTGGATTAAAAAACCCTTATCCCAACACAAAGTCCAGTATTGACTGGTTTTGAGTTTTCTGAAACAGCCCTTGCCTAACTCATTTCAAATAATTTTTGTCTAAAACATTAAACTTTTTCCATAAAATTACATTTCCCTGGCTCCCACTAAATATTTACCCATTTACTGTTCAACCATGAATTCAAGGTCAGTGTCTATAATTCATGACTGTACTTGACATTAAATTATACTTGCCATTTTCTTTACCTCCAGATAGCGGTGCCACTGAGTTCTTACCCTTATTTCAAAACTACTCTGAAATTAATCTCCCTATGTATTTCTTTTTCATATGTCAGCCCCCCTCTTTGGATTAACCCTTGAACCCAAGAGAGTCATCATTGAGCTCTGCGTCCCTGGTCTCCCTGCCAGGGCACACTCACCCCTCATCACAAACGAAGGACACTTGGGCCCCAAGCTGGAGATTAAGTGGAGAGAGCACACGGCCGTTGGGGAGTTGCTCCAGGAAGTCAGGACATGATTTCACTAGGAAGAAATAAAATCAGGAGTAAGATTGCCACGTGAGGGACAAAGAGATTGATCAGTAAGTCAGATGAGAATGTAGGTACCTGCACACTGGGGGGCTGCGGGGCTCCAGTCTCCCTGGGGCGTACAGCGCAGAGCAGCAGCCCCTCTGAGCTCATAGCCCGGCTCACAGCTGTACAGCACTTCCTGCCCGGGGGGAAAGTTGTCCGTGTTCCTTGGGGTGTGCTTACCGTGCAGGATTTCTGGAGGGGGCCGACATGCTGGGGAAAGAGCAGCAAGTATATGGAAACATCTTTTGCTATATCCTGTCCCTGTCATGCAGCTTAAAAATCCTAATTAAGTAGAATAGACTTTAAAAGATCTGGGAGCCATGTCTTACTGATGAGCAAATGGAGGCTACAGTTCAGAGCTGTGACTAGAATCAAGGTTTCCCCAAAACTTAACTGTGTTGTTTTACTGAAACATCCCTAAGACTATAAGCAGAATTCCTTTTGCTTTCCAGTGCTGGCCATCCAGTACAGAGCTGGGGGTTCTGGGGGCTTATTCCACTCTTACACTTCCTAGAAAGGTCACCTTTTTGACAACAACTAGGATACCTTTAACTAAGTCTCAGCTAACAGCTCCTGCTACTGAGCTTCTTACGATCACGTGCCCCTTCATTTCGCCGCCCCTTTCAGAACTGTAAGCTTCTCGATCCCTATGTGCCAGTCCGATTCTTTCCACTCCTCTGCTAAGCCAGCCATTTCAGCATAAGAGGTCAAGAGAAGACACTGAGAACAAAATCCCCTTAAAATGAAAGGTATAGACTCCTAAAAGAGAGAACATACTGTTTAGAGCACATTTTGACTCATATTTTGGCTGTCTGCACCCACAGCCCAGTTGGTGTGTGCTCAGGGCATTAGAACACATTTAAGCCTCAATCTGAGCCATATAGACTTCAATAAAAATGAAAAAAAAATTTGCTTAGATTTGAGCAAGTCACTTCCCCAGTTTTCAGTAATAACATGGGGAATTGGAACAGAATGATTGAAGTCTAAGTAAGGCCTTTTTAATCTGATGCTGTCACTTTGGCCCCAAGGCACATTTGCCTACTGACCCCCTCCAATGAGAGATCTATGTCATTTTTCTCATCATTGTTTATTGTGCATTTCAGTAAACATTAGGCTCTGCGATTCCAGGCCTGGTTCTGTTATTTACTAGCTCTGTGACCTGGGACCTTATTTAACTTCTCTAAGACTCACTTTCCTAATGTAAAACGGGGATAGGCACATATCCTGTTTCAGATATTCATTCTGAGTATTAAATAATTTATATAACATACGTGCATTACAGATGAGACAGTAAACCATCACTTTTTGATGATTATTTTGATCACAGATAACGTAGCAGAGCTAGTATGATGTTTAGAGTATTCAATTTCATAGTTGTGGCATACACACCTGTGCACACACTTCTTCCTTAATTTCAACAACTCCTATCATTTATTTACACTGCCCCACATCCCCCAGCAGAGTCTCGGTGGATGAAACTCACCCCTGGAGCAGCCTGGCAGCTCAGGTACCCATGTGCTGTTGGCTTGGCATTGCACAGTGTCGGACCCTTTCATGACAAAGCCAGGATGACATCTAAATCTCACAGTCTCATTTAAGGAAAATAAACTCTTATTTTCCGACACTCTAACTCCATTTTCAACTTCCGGAGCTGTGCATTTATTAGCAGGAACACACTGAGGAGGGGGGCTGCTCCAAACACCACGCTGACCGCCTTTGCTGGTACAGTTTATTGATCGTCCTCCCACGAGGTCAAACAGCTTTCGTCCATCTGGTCCAGTGTGACACTGGTAAGTCACCACTGTTGCGTACTGAAAAACACTTCGATTGCTGCTGTAGAAGTCTCCATTGGATATGCCTGGGGGTGGCTCACAAGATATACCTAGGAAAAGGGAGAGTGTGATAAACAATAGCTTAATTCTTAATTTTTTAAGAAGTATTTTAGGTTCTGAGCAAAATGGAGGGGAAGGTACAGACTAGACTCCTGCCCCACGACATGCACACCTTCCCCCTTTATCAACCTCGTCCCCGGAGTAGTACATCTGCTACAACTGATGAACCCACATGGACATATCCTTATCACCCCAAGTTCATAATTTATGTTAGGGTTCACTCTTGGTACTGCACATTCTGTGGGTTTGGAAAAATTGATAATGACCTATGTCCATCATTATCCCGTCATGCAAAGTATGTTCAGTGTCCTAAAACTCCTCTGTGTTATGCCTGTTCATCCCACCCACCTCCCCAACCTCTGGCATCCACCAATGTTTTTACCATCTCTGTAGCTTTGCCTTGTCCAGAATGTTTTTTTTACTATTAATTATTTTACTATGAATTTAAATAACAAATATAAAGAATCAAACGACTCTCTAAATGGTAACTAACTGCAATGCTATTATTTTCTTCTAGTAATTGCTGATAATCAGGCATGTTTACCTAGTTGAAATTTAGGTGTATGTTGTTCTGTTTATACTAATTTCATGTAAAAATATCCATGTATTATTATGGTTTACATATCTGTGGTTTTAGGTGGATAACTGATGCGATTTTATCATAGATTATTAAGATATTTACTTACTGCTGGGCTGTTTTTTCTTTTGGTTATTTAATAGCACCTTCGCAGGTTACATACACCAGGTCTGGCATTACTCTCGGAGCAAGAGAGGGGTGCCAGAGTCACGGCGAGGTTACTCGGTCTGTTTTTCTGTCCCCTTTTATTTACAGCCCATTGGGCCTCTGCACGTTATACCAGAGCACCCAGGAGCTTTCTAGTCACCTGTGCTTCAGAAAGAGAGCGGATGGTATCTGCAGAGGAAGCCGGGGAGCCGAGAGCGCAGGGGAGCCTGCCCCACCCCCACCTGCCGGGGTCGGAGAGAAAGCGAAGCTGGAGCGCGCAACAGGTGCACGCGCGTGGGAGGCGGAGAACCAGGCAGCCAGCCCCGCGGGGCAGAGGAGGCGGAGGAGAAGGAGGATCTTGAGGAGTCCCTCGCCCCGCAGCGACACCGAAACCCGCTGGCTTTCCCTGTAGCGACACCAGCGACAGCAGCGACCTCCTTCACAGAGGAGATCGAAAGCGGAAGGCGAAGGACTGCCCCGGGCTGCAGGTGGCAGCAGGAGGCACCCGTTTCTCTCCAGCAGCAGGACTCCCGGCCTGGAACCCCGACTGGGGAGAGGGACTGGAGCCAGGCGACCAGCATTACAAAGAGCACTGGGGGGCGTGCTGGCTGCCATCGGCTTCGGGATGTCTGCAGGAAGTCAGCTCTCGGACCTCTGGGAGGACCCACACAGGGATCCCCCGACTGGGCTGTGGGCACCCACAGAGCCCCAGGGCTAAGCCCACACCTATCCCTGACTTGGCCGTCAGCTTTTTGTTCACAAGCCACTTTTTTTTTTTAAACCAACACTCCCCATTGTAGCCCGAGCCCGCGCAGAAACCAAACACGAGCTATAGCGCCACCGTCTGGAAAACAGGAGAAATTGATGTCTAATTGTCAAAGTGGCACAGGTCTAGGGTGATGGCAGAGGCCAGACACTATGAAAAGTCACAGTAATATTACATCAAAAGGAAAATGATAATTCTCTAACAACTGAACCCAAAGGCATGGACTATTGTGATATAACTGATAATTCGAAATAGCTGTTGTAAAGAGATTCAATGAACTAAAAGAAAACAGAAAGGCAATTCAATGAATTCAGGGATAAAATTAATGCACAGAAGGAGTTTTTTTTGTTTTTTGTTTTTACCAGACATGAAAATTTTTAAAAAGAACCAGACAGAACTTCTGGAGCTGAAGAATTCAATGAATGAGATGAAGAATGTTTTAGAGAGCTTAGGACACAGGGCAGATCAGATCAAAGAAAGAAGCGCACCTTAGAGGACAGGAATTTAAAAATGACTCAGGTAGAAGATGAGAGAGAACTAAGATTTTTTCAAAGTGAAGAAACCCTGTGAGAGCTATCAAATATGATGAGGAAAACAAATATAAAAATAATTGTTTTAGCAGAAGCAGAAGAGAGGCAAAAGGGAGCAGAGAGTGTACTTAGAGAAACAGTAGGTAAGAACTCCCCAAATTTGGGGAAGGAATTGGACATACCAGTCCAAGAAGCTAATAGAACACCCTATTATCTCAATGCAAAAAGACCTCCAAGACACAGTTTAATGAAACTGTCAAAAAACAATGATAAAGAATGAATCTTAAAAGTTGTCAGGGAAAATAAAATAACCTATAAAAGTCAGAGAACTTCTCAGCAAAAACTCCACGGGTTAGGAGAAATTGGAATGACATAGTCAAAGTACTGAAAGAGAAAAATTGCCAGCCAAGAATATTTTAGCCAGCAAAGTTATCTTTAGACCTCTTTGCAAGAAATGCTGGAATGAAAAGACACACATTAGTGATATGAAAGCAATGGAAGTACATAATACCCTAGCAAAAGTGAAAAAATAAACAGTCAGAATTAGAAAACTGTGATACTTCATTAGAATAGTGTATTAACCTCTTAATTAAAGTACAAAGCTTTCAGGAAAAGAGCGTTAATATTAATTATAACTACTGTAATTTCTCAATGAATTCACAGCATAAAAAGAGGTAAATTGTGACTCAAAAATATAAAGGGGGAGGAGTAAAAAGGTGAAATATTTATACAAGAATGATGATAAAGTACTCTAGATCAGCATAAAAGGATTGTTTTATCTATGAGATACTTTATGTAAACCACATGGTACCCACAAAGCAAAAATCTGTAGTCACAAAACATAAAAATAGGCAAGACTGAGAAAACCACCATTTTACAAAAGGTAGACTGAAACAGGGAAAAAGAAACAAAGGAGATACAAAACAACCACAAGGCCAATGGTAAGATGCAGTAGTAAGTTGTTACATATCAATGATCACTCTAAATATAAATGGATTGAATTCACCAATCAAGAGTGGCTGGATGGATTAAAAAACAAGACCTAACTATATGCAGCCTGCAGGAAAATTATTTCAGCTCTGAAGACACACATAGGCTCAAAGTGAAGGGATGGAAGAGGATATTTCATGCAAGTGGAAACCAAAAGAAAAATAACCATACTTAGATCAGATGAAATAGGCTTCAAGCCAAAGATGATATTAAGAGACAGAGAAGGTCATTATATAATGACAAAAGATTCATTACATCAAAAAGATACAACAATCATGAATATATATGCATGCAACATTGGAGTACCACAACATATTAGGCAAATGCTAAGAGATCTACAGGGAAAAATGGATAATACACTAATAATAGGGGGCTACTTTTTCTCAAAATATTCAACCTACAGAAAGGGATAACAATAATAAAAATGGTGTGCTACTGGCATGAAAATAGACACATAGACCAATGGGACGTAAGAGAGAGCCCAAAATTAAAGCTCTGGTTACATGGTTAACAATTATTCAACAAGGGAGCCAAGAGCACTCAATGGGGAAAGGATAGTTTTTTTTCAGCAAATGGTGCTGGGAAAACTGGATAACACATGAAGAACAGCGAAATTGGACTCCTGTCTCACACCACTCACAAAAATTAACTTGAAATGGAACAAAGACTTAAATATAAGACCTGATACTATAAGATTCCTAGAACATAATGAAGGGAAGAGGGTCCTTAATATTGGTCTTGGCAGTGACCTTTTGGATATGACACCAAAACCACAAACAACAAAAGCAAAAATCAACAAATGGGACTATATCCATCTTAAAAGCTTTTGCACAGTGAAAGAGACAACAAAATGAAAAGGCAACCTACAGAAAGGGAGATAAATTTTTGCCAACCATGTATTGGATAAGGGGTTAATATTTGAAATATATAAAAACCTTATACAATTCAATAACAATAAACAATCTGATTAAAAATGGACAGAAGAACTAAGTAGACATTTTCCCAAAGAAGACACACAAATGGCCAACAGGTACATAAAAAGATGCTCAACATCACTAATCTTCAGGGAAATGCAAATTAAAACCACAATGACGTATCACCTCATACCTATCAGAATGGCTATCAAGATAGTAAGAGACCGTAAGTGCTGGTGAGGATGTGGAGAGAAGGGAACCCTTATGCAGTGGGTGATAATGTAAATTGGTACAGGTACTATGGAAAACAGTATGGACATTCCTCAAAAAAAGAAATGGAGCTACCGTATGATCTAGCAATTTCGCTTCTGGTTATTTACCCTAAGAAAATGAAAACACAACTCTCCAAGATATATGCATCCACCATGTTCATTGCAGCATTATTTACAATAGCCAAGATATGGAAACAATGAGTGTCCATCAATAGATGAATGGATAAAGAAAATGTGGTACATATATACGAAGGACTATTATTCAGCTACGAGAAAGGACAACATTCTACCACTTGCAACAACATGGATGGAACTTGAGCACATTATGCTTTATGAGGTAAGTCAGACAGAGGAAGAAAAGTACTGTATTATCACTTGTATGTGGAATGTAAAAAAGCCAAACTTGGGAAACAGAATAAAATTGTAGGTACCAGGGACTGGGAGTCGGGGAGTACAGGCCAGATGTTGTTTAAGGGCATACATTTAAAAAAGGCAGTGAATAAGCCCTGGCAATATAATTCACAGTACAGTGAATATTGACAACAAAATTATATTTATAATCATCAAACTTGCTAGGAGACTAGGACTTAATTATTCCAACTACTAAAAAGAAAGGATAGAGGTGCTAAGTATCATTACAATGGCATCATATTGCAATATATGAATGTATCAAATTATCATGTTACACACCTTAAATTTACACAATGTCATATGTAAAATGTGCTTCAAAAAAAAGAAGAGAGAAAAGAAAGTATTAAAGATAAGGTATAAGAAATGAAGTAATCACAGATTCAGGGATAATAGAATAAGTGACTATGTTCTGCCATGACATAATAATTTAAAAAATATTGTTATGACTATGCACATGTTCGCATATACATATATAACCAACATTGGCTCAGTTAAATGTTATTAACCTGTATGTGTATGCTGACTTCTACTAAAAAGTTAAATATATATTGACTTCTACTAAAAATATAGAAGTGAAACATTTTTCATTAAAGATAGGCCCCTACAAAAGGTACCAGGCCTGGAAAATTTTTTAGGGTAAACTGATAATACCTGGGTAACCTGAATTTTTTTCAGAAAATTTAAAATTTTTGGCAGGTTAAGGAGGCACCTTGTATACATTCTCATTTATTTCTTTGATTCTTTGAGAGCTAATGTTATTTTCTTTTTGTGACTATTTTGAATAAAATGGACATATTCATTGTAGGAAATTTATAAAATATGGACAAAAAGAAGAAAATGATAATGGCCTAAAATAACTATTCTTAACAATTTAATATATATTATTTCTAGTATTCATGCGTGCACATGTATGTGAGTCTATGGATATATTTTCTGCGGTATCATTATTGGTGGCTGAATATTATTCGGGCATGTAGATACATGGATATACTATCTATTTTCACTTGGATAAAGAATCTCAATCTCTACTTCTTCATGGTATACTTTTATCTTTCTTAAAAATATATCATGCCTTTTTAATAAGCCTTATGTCTTCCATTAGATATTTTAAAACCATTTAGACTTTTAACATTTTTTCACTATCATTAGTATTGTTGCACTGAGTGTCTTTGGACCGAACCCATGGGAAAATTCCATGATTATTTTCTTGGGATAAATTCTGGGAAATGGAATTACTAGGTCAAAGGGTGTTTGCATTAAGGCTTTTGCATGTATTGCTCAAAAGCCTTTTGAATTGTGTGCCCACTTTAATTGCCATCAGTTCTGCGTGGGATGCTGGTTCATGACAGCCTTAGCACTTGACCAGTTTGCAATCAGTCATTCTTCCCTGTTCCTCAGAGGTTTGGAGGTTCACTTTACAATATCCCATTGAAGAGATGGAGGTTCTGCTAATGAAGAGCATACACGGTAAGGGCATGAGCCTGGAGGAATCTGAAGGAAGAATACAGCAGAGCAGAACGACCAGAGGCTTGGAGAAACTGCCGAGACTTACAAGATCTCCTTTCATTGTTCAGAGTAAAAGTAACAAGCGGAATAACCTACTTGGGTTTACAACGTACTGTCAAAAGGTTGCAGAGACAAGTTTAATTTTCTCTAATTTCTTTTAAATTCGGTAGCTAGAAGAATGATCCTTATACTGGAAAGAGTTTACTATTAAAGGAGGCAATAAGAGCTATGTTACTTGAGTTCAGGTCCACAGTTTCAGATAAAAAACCTCTTAAAGCAAAGAAAAACCAGGAGAACCACATAACACACTTCAGTTTTCAAATGTCTGAGAGACTGCTCTGTGCAAGATGGATTGGATTATTTTTCTGTAACTCCAGGGGCAAATATGGATCACATGGAGGGAATTATGGGGGAAAATATTTCAACTCACTCTCACAAATGGGTAGCTCCTTATCCCAAGTGACGTTATTGCCTGAGAGGAGACAAGCAGCAGTCGGGGAACCGATGAGTCGATACCTAGAATCACAGAATGAAAAATGGTTTTTTGCTACACATATTCCCCGCTTAAACCATATGAGAAAATAATAGGACGATGTTACAAATCACAGGACAGATTAAAACATGGGAGACCTTGTCTGTATCTTCTAATTAGTTCTTTATTTCTAAGGACAAACTTAAATTCTTACCTGTTTCATCCATCTTCACTCCTATTTCCTCACAACTCAATGCAATACTTCCCTTGCTAGTCATTGGACATTTTGTACTTGTCTTTAAGGAAGCTAAAGAGTTATATATACAATATTATATATTACATAAAAAAGTATGTATACTTCTGAAAGGAAATTATAAACTTGATTAGTGGGGAAGATGTCTCATTGAAATATTTGCACTCTTTAGCTCCTAGCTTAGAGATATTCAAACATGGGGTGCTCCAGAAAAATCTGTTGATTGAAGGAAATAATGATGGCTTTACCCTAAAGATTCAGTAAATGAGAACCAGAGAAAACAGCTAATCATTTTCACACTTTAAATGTACTTATCCACCGTGTCAGAAAATCATCCAAAGAAGGCCACAAATCGTGGAACATTTCATCATCATTTTTATTTCATCATTATTTTTATTTATTAGGTATCTTACTGTTACTGCAAGACATGTCACAAAGGATGCTCAGCTATGTTGTTCATGTGATCCCCTGTCTAGCAAGGTTAAACCTGATTAAGTAAAAGGTGTATTGCAAAGTCATATCACAGTGAGGTGGTTACTGGACCAGCTAAGAACCCTGCCTCCTGACCACCTAAGGCGTGTGGTCAGGGCAGTCACCAACTGTAGCAGACACTGCTGGTGTGTCTAGAATTCACTTTCCTCTTCTTCATTAATAACAGAACTCTTTATTTTCAACTGCACCACACCACTGGCTGTCTTCAATAAAGGCTTCATTTCTCAGCTTCCCTTACAGCCTGATTCAAGTGATTAAGTTCTGCTAGAGGGAGGAAGCGGAGTGCCAGGGGTCACTTCTGGAAAGTGTCCTTAAAGGGATGGATGGTGTTCCTTTCTTCCAGTCTTCCTCTCCACTGGCTGGAGTTTGGACCATGAGTGGAGATGGAGTCTTAAATGAAGGGCTCCCAGGTTTGTGTGGATCATGGAACCACCAGATGACTTGTGAATTTTACAGTTTCTTCAGAGGACTGCCCATGGTTCTTAACCTGAGAGAGCAGTAAATTACTTTCTTGTTTAAGCTCCTGCTATTTTTTTTTTCTTGTCATTTCTGTGTTAATTTAATCCTAACTGATATGCCAGTTCTTCCCAAAACGGTGACATAAAGATGATGAGAACCATGTGGGCATAGCAATTAGAGTGAATATTTTTGTAGATGCATTAACTTACTTTTGTATTTGGGTAGTGATTGAATTTTACTCAATGCTAATTTGTTTTTTTATTGGCTAAGTTGTATATCTTTTCAAGTGTGCCAACAAATATTAAACCTTCAAAATTTCTGCAAAGATATAATTTGAGAGCCACTAGACTAAGGAAACAAAATAATCCCTCCATTATGTACTGTGTTTCTTTCTGCCTGTCACCTATTATACATTTAAAAGTTGCCTTAAAAGCACAGAATTATGGATGCCTTCTGATTTTTGACCTTATAGAGGTTGCTTTTAAAGTGCAGATGATAACTAAGCTACAGCATTGGAATAACAATATGAAGTAGCTTCCAGCCTATGTATAGGTGTAAAAAAACAGCGAGCAATTTTGAAGGCATTATAAGACACTAATATGTAGCCATAGCAATTATGTTGTAATTTTTCCTGACCTGATTTTCCATCTCTCTGAAGTTCTTTTATTCAAGCCTACTCCTTAGGTTCCCTGGGCATTAGAAATTTGGGTAGCCTCAAAGCTAAACCATTGTTCAAGAATAGCCCCAAGATTCCTTCCCCTATAAGAAATACACACACTGTGGAGAAGCATATCGAGACACTGGAGAATCACTTTAGTAAGGTCAGGGTTGGAAGAATTAAGGGCCGGGATATGGTGCCATTTTTATCTTTCCTATTTTTTCATGCACTTGAAACTATTTTGGAGTAGAAGAAATCTATGGAGACATTCAATAGCTACAGATTATTTCAAGAAGCTCATGATGATATGCTTCTGCAGCAGGCTTTTTTCTAAAAAACAAATTTTAAATTGAATTCTATTGGGTTATAAAAGTTAATATAGATTCATTGTAGATACATTCAGAAGTCATGAATAACCCAAAGATAAAATCACCGCCCATAATTCTTCCACTCATCATAGTTAGTGTTTTCTCTGAATGCTTTTAGCATTTTTATCTAAAAATATACACAAGTAACCAATACGTCATCTGAGCTCAGTTACCCTCAGAAGGGGGAGCTGGTTAAGTCGGACATCAGCATCAATTCCATCCACATGTGAAAAGTACAGATTCCCATCTGGTCTCACTAACCCCAACTACAAATTCTTGGATTTCTTAGCCTCATCAGTCCTTCAGATGACTGCAGCCCCTGTCAACATCAAAGACAGTATCAAGGTAACCCACAGAATGGGAGAAAATAATTGCAACTCAATTATTTGAGCATGGTTTAGTATACAGAATATATAAAGAACTCCTGTAACTTAACAACAAAAATAACCAAAGAATTGAAATATGGACAAAGGATTTGAGCAGACATTTCTCCAAAGAGGATACAAATGGTCAATAAACACATGAAAAGACACTAAACATTAGTAGTTATCAGGGAAATGCAAATCAGACCCGCTTCACACCTTGTAGGATGGTTATAGTAAACATTAGTATTGGTGAGGGTGTGGATAAAATGGAACCATGGTAATTGCTGGTGGGAATGTAAAATGTTAACAGCCATTGTGGAAAACAGTTTAGTGATTCCTCAAAACTTAAACACAAAATTACTCTGATCCAGCAATTGCAATTCTAGGTATATAGATCCAAAAGGAGTGAAAACGAGATTCAGATATGGGTTTATCAGTTGTACTTATTTTTAAGCACATCCTCATAAACTGTATTTTTTCTCTGAAATGACACATTTCATGGGTTTTTTCAATTTCATTACAATAGAGAGGATCTAATATTTTTATAAAGTATTGAATCTCTCCAATATGTATGGTGCTATCACCTTTCTCATTCGTGTTTATTTGCAGATTTGTTATTCTGTGAAAATATAGTTGGTCAAGTTGTGTTTATTTGGTCCCTTTAAAAACCCTGATCTTGGATTTACTTAGCATTTCTATTGTTTCTTTTTCCCTTTTTAAGCTCATTTCTTTTCTTTAATTCCTTAGTCCAGCTGCCTTTATATGTTCATGTTTTTGGTCTTAGTCATTTAAAAATTATTAAAATGTTTTGTTCATTTATTTGAAACTTTTCTTGTCAAATGACACAAGGACTGACTGTTTCTCTAAGGACACTTTTGCATCAACATCCCAGAGATTTTCAAGAATAATATTTGCATCAGCATTTATAATAAAGAATCTGAATAATGTAAGATTTATTATAACAGGTTTTGAGGCAGACTGTCAATATTCAAATTCTAATCTCAACCTCTTTAATGTGAATTTGGGTAAATATATTAACCTATCTCAGTTTTATCATCTGTGAAATGGGGTTATGTGTAATATCCACATTAAGTAAGTTAATCATATAAGGCACTCAGAAGAGTGCTGGGGCACATGCACTCAATAATCATACATTATTGATATTCTATAGGCAATGTGCAATGCCTGTTTTAGTTTCTTCTTTGAACAAGATCCAAAATTTTGAATTTAATTTATTCTTGAGTGATTGTATTATAGTGAGAGTATATGGCTGTTTTGATTTCTCCTATGTTCAAATTTATCAAGGTACACTCTGTGCAGTGGTATCAACTTTTATGAACGGTTCCCAGAGAGAAAGCTTACATTCTCTGGAAGATACAAAGTTCGGCACGCATGTACCGAGGCAGCTGTACTCCTCAGCATTTTACTCTTTGTACCTTCACTTACCCAATCTGAACTTTTCAACCACTATTACAATCTTACTAATCTATCTTCTTGTTTCTTTTTAAAACTTCTGGGACTTTGAATAGTAACAGGAATTGAGGAAAACTAATGCTTTCCATCACATTCTCTCACCAGGGCTAGGCAAACTAAATCTCTCACCAGGGCCAATGGGTCCTGCAAGCCTGTATTTGTAAATGAAGCCTTAGTGGAAGCCAGCCACACATGTATTTGTCTATTGTCTGTTTCATTTGCAGAGCCGAGTAGTTACAATAGGGATTGTATGGCCCACAAAGCTGAAAATATTTACTATCTGGGTCTTGACAGAAAGAGGTCACCGTCCCTTGGTCAAAACAATCTATCTTTCATTTGTCCAGGTTAACATCGGCTCCTTGACTATTTGCTTTTTTAAAGTTGACTTTATTTTTCGGTAATTTAACAGCATAATTTTGCAACGTATGTATTCACTTTGAATACCATATATATTTTGGTCTTTCCCACCCTGTCTCAGGTAACCCCACTTTTTCAAAGCTCACTCACACACACATATGCATATAGAATATCTCCTCCAAATCTGTTATTATTTTTACAAATTGAGGACAAACTTCACATGCTTCTTTGCAAATTGTTTTCTCAATTAATGTCACATCGCGGTCATCCATCCAGGTCACTGAATATAGCATCTAATTAACTCTTTTTTGATTACAGAAAAATAGTTCATAGTGTAGATATCTTACAATTTCAGTGGCAGCTGCACCACTTTACATTCCCACCAGCAATGCACAGGGGTTCTAATTTCTCCACATTCTCACCAATACTTTTTATTTTCTGTTTAAAAAGAAAAAGAATTTATTAAAGTCATCCTAGGAGGTGTGAAATGTGTTTGATTTGCATTTCCCAAGTGACTAATGTGTTGAGCATCTTTTCATGTGTTTATTGACCATTTACTTGTATGTCTTCTTTGGAGAAGTGTTTCCTCAAGTTTTTGTTCATTTTCAAATAGGGTTGTTTGTCTTTTTATTGTTGAGTTGCAAGTGCTCTTTATGTATTCTAGATATTAAATACTTGTCAGATATATGATTTGCAAATATTTTTTCTCCTTCTATGGGTTGCCTTTTCACTCTCTTGAGAGTGTCTGTTATGGTCTGAAAGTTTATGACTCCCTAAACTCATATGTTGAAATCATAACCTCCACAGGTGATGGTATTAGTAGATGGGACCTTTGAGAGGTGATTAGATCATGAGGATGAAGTCTTCATGAAGGGAATTAATGCTCTTATAAAAGAGACCCCACAGAGCTCCCTAGCCCCTCTATCAGGACACAATGAGACAGGAGCAGCCTGGAAGGGGGCCTCACAGACCACGCTGGTTCTGTAATATCAGACTTTCAGCCTCTGGAATGGTGAGAAATAAATTTCTGTTATTCATAAGATACCTCATCTGTGATATTTTGTTATACAAGCCTGAATGGACTTAGGTATCTTCATGCAAAAATGTTTCAAATTTTAAAAATCCAATTTTTCTGTTTTTTCTTTTGTTGTCTATACATTTGGTGTCATATTGAAGCAACCATCGCCAAATCCAAGGTCATGAAGATTTTCCCCTATGCTTCTCTCTAAGAGTTTTATACTTTTAACTCTTTAGGTCTTTGATCCATTTTGAGTTAATTCATCTATATGGTGTAAGGTAAGAGTCTAATGTCATTCTTTTACATGTGAACATCCAGTTTTCCCAGGACTGTTTGTAGAAGAGACTGTTCTTTCCTCAGTGAATGGTCTTGGCACCCTTGTTGAAAATCAATTGACTGAAAATGTGTGGCTTTATTTCTGGGCTATCACTCTGTTGCCTTGGTATGTCTAACTGTATGCCAATAACACTGTTTTAATGACTGTAACTTTGTAGTAAGTTTTGAAATCAGAAAGTGTGAGTCCTCAGGCTTTCTTCTTTTCTAAATTGCTTGGCTATATCCTTTGAAATTCCATATAAATTTTAGAATGGTTTTTCCATTTCTTCAAAAACTACTGTTGGGATTTTGATAGGAATTCCTTTGAGTCTCTATATTACTTAGGGCAATATTTTTATCTTAACAATATTCAATCTTCCAATCCATGAAAATGGATGTCTTTCTGTTTATTAAGTCTTCTTTAAATTCTTTTGGTAGTGTTTTTATAGTTTTCAGTGCATAAGTCTTCTTTTTCCTTGGTTAAATTTATGCCTAAGTAATTTTTATGCCATTGTAAATCAATTTTCTGGGTCATTTTCTTTTAGGAATGTGTCTTAAATATCTTGTAGTTACAAGTTTTTATTGACTATATTTAGCAGGCATTGTCCTTCAAAAGGGGAATTTAAGCCACTGACATTTATTGTCATAATGGATGGGTTCAATCTTGCTTATATCATTCTTTCCCTTTTGTTTATTTAATAATTCCAAGAGATGGAACTCAGCACCGTAGTGGAACAACTCCAATCCTGTTCTGCTGATGCTGTTTCTCAGAAAAGAGACAGAGAGCTTCCTTGCTCTTCCTTCCCCTACTCCTTCCTCTTTTATCATGTGGAGAGAGTGGTTTACTCTCTGATTGTATCTGTGATCTCGAAGGTACTTATTTTGATTTTATACTAGCGTAGAATGTCATTTTCTTTTAATTGATTATGTCAAGAACATGTGTTATCTATTCATCCCCTATGTATTACAAATTAAACAGTTTCTTTACCCCCAACATCCTAGCTATAGTGATAGAAATCTATGATTTTATATCCATTATTGCTAATAAATGCTTCACTTCTTTCTTCTTTTTTCTCATACCTAGAATTGTGTGTGTGTGTGTGTGTTTGTGTGTATAATTTCCACTTTTGTCCTTGGTTAATTTTGGAGAATTTTATCCTGTTTCCTAATGATCTCTTCTTCTTTTTTCAAGATTCTATCTCCTGATTATTGTTGCTGTTTTGCCTCCTGTGTTTTTTATCCGTATATAAATTTTCCTGATACAAGGTTATTAAATCTTACAAACACTTCTTACTGTTTTGTAGATTCTATGTTACAGACAGGTGAGAGATTTCTAATATCCTGTTTTAGAGGTTAGTCCCTCGTTTATTGGACTATACTGATTTGTAGAGGAATATTTTCTCTGACTTCTCAGATGGGTCTCTTTTTTTTCCAACTGTTGTATCTTTCCTTCTGTTTGGCGGTGGTTTGGCTTGCTCACCACAGGGGAGGTCTAGGCTTCTTCACATTGGGAGGTAAGAAGAGATTGTGTGGCAAGCTGTTCAGATCTCCCAGGTTCAGACAAAGTGAGAGAGGGTGAATATTGACTTATCCTAGTTTAATCACAGGATGCCTGGATCATAATACAATAGCTGGGGTGGAATAGGATGGAGTGGATGACCATGGGTAGTTTTTGTGGGAAGATTTAACATAGATGTCTTTTTTTCTCTGAATTTACTGTGGCAACTGACAATTAGGACATGTCAACAACATGCTTTAGTTGCTCCAAGTTGAGGCAGCAGCTTCTAGCATGATTCCCTGTCCCAAGGAAAAGTCAAGAGTAAGAACTCCATGAATGTCCCCACACTGTGTGCATTTTAATATTTAGATTTCCCAGAGCTGCTGTCACATTTAAGATGTACCCTCCCAAGCTTCAGAGTCCTCCAGCTCCACTATACTACCTGCTGATCTCAGTTGAGGAGATCATGGTTTGCATGGTTAACTAGCATTTTTTTGCCTTTACTTTTTTTTCATCCAGTGAATATCTTACCAGGTGTCACATATACTACCTTTGGTAGGAGCTCAGGGCCCTCCCCTAATTTATAACAGATACAGATTGCTCTTTCTCTTTATATTTCTTTGGTAATATGTCTATGTGTAAGCTACCATCTTGCTCCAGAAGTCCTTTTGTTTACTTTTGAAGAATAGGTGGCAATAGTCTAGTGTGCCTATCAAAGACTGGATATTATGGCGTTGCTGTTCTGGAACTCACATTCCAGAGATAGTACCCCCAACTCACCCTTCATTACAAGAATAATTAACTGTTGATCCAAATTGGGTATCTGTGTTTATATGCACCATGCCATTGAAGGGTTCTAGAGGAGTTCCACATGATTTTCCTATGGAAAAGAAGCAGAATTTGGGACTAGGTGTAGAGTTCAATTTACCTTGTGTTTATGATTCAGACTGTAGCGAACTGAACAGCCGATACATACTTCTATTCCACTGAAGGGACCGCTTTGAGGAAACTCACCATACAACCTCAGAATCAAGCAGCCACATGGTACTGATTTTTAAAAGACTACCTTCCATCTCCCAGTAAAGGTCATTTATGGCTAAAGAATCATTTTCTTGTTCCATGAGCCTAAATCAAAGGCTTCAAAATTTGGGACTTCTAGTCTATCTTAGTTAGCTAAGCACAGTTCACTATGACTCACGTAATTTTCTTTTGTGTGCCCCTGTTTGATTCATTTCATGGTTTTAGTCATCAAGGGCCACCTCCAAGGAATGGAAAATATCCCTTTTGTGAGAGTATTAACATAAAATGGATGTTTAGTCAAGGTACAGAAACTCCAGCTTTAAGAAAGGATGACCTATAAGTCCACCCTCCATTAAATACTTGGAGCAAACAGATGTCTCACCTTCAAAATTTGAACAAATTAGAGCAGATCCCACAGTCTTTGACATATATGACACAGCTCCCAGGACGGGGTTACTCACTTCTGCAGGTATCGTCAGCTCTTGACCAGACCAAGTTTTCTAAGCAGGTGATGGAGAACATACTTTCAAAATACCCAGGGGAACATTCGTAATTCAAAGATGTCCCAATTGGAAACTCAGACTCATCAGTCAGGGTTGTAGGCTTGGCAAATGGAAACTGTTCTGGGGCCTTACAGTAACCTGGAGATCAAAACCACAGGAATATCAAAACGAGCAGAAAGATTTCACCCTATCTCTTTCTCTCCAGTTAGCTGATAGATGGGATCACAGAAACACAGACTAATAGTAATGGCAAAAGATTTCCTTTCCCTTGAAGTTACTTTAGGGTGGTGTTTTCCAACAGCATTTAGTCATCAGACAATTTTTGCTACTTGGAAGATTATTCACCTTTCTGGCCTTTCTGCTCATATTGTACCAGCGCAAGAGTTTTAGCTCATAGTTGCGTGTGTCAGGTCTCCTATCAGAGTGCCTGGATATGGAGTTACCATCCATATCCTCATTTACTGGTGTTAATGTACTTATGTATATCAAGACATATTTTACCATCTCTCTCCATTTATTCTTCCCATTTATTCCACCATAAGCTGCCTCTCTGTCGCTAACTAGCAGCCACCACTTATAGTGGGATCAATGATGTTGCATCCAAAAGATAAATCCATCCAGAACTTCAGCTAGAGTACTTGCTCATCTCAGTTAAAGATGTTTGCATGGTTTAACATGGGTCTTTTCTGATATATTTAAGGTAATGATCTCAAGATGACATCATCTTAGATTACCAGTGTGGGCGTTCAATCCAATGGCTGGTGATGTCCTTACAAGAAAAGGAGAGGGTGATTTGAGACACAGAGACACAGAGGAGAAGGCCATGTGAAGACAGAGGCAGGGATTGGAGTGATGTGTCCACAAGTGACGAAACGCCAGGTACCACCAGGAGCTGGGAGAGGCAAAGAAGTGTAGCCCTGCTGACACCATGATTTTAGATTTCTGGGTCCCAGGTGTGTGACAGAATAAACACCTGTTGCTTTAAGCCACCTGGTTTGTCATGATGTGTTACGGCAGCCCTAGGAAAATAAGACTACTTTTCTCATGCTGATGCTGAGCTGACATTTTTAAGGACAGGGACAAAACAGACTAAGCCATCCAGCCACTTCCTCTAAGAAGCTACGTCTTCTTTATGAGAGGGTGCTGCCTACTTTGAGATAAAACCTGAACTCAACTACCTGCTTTTTGGAGGAGACTGCTTCCATTTACCCATTCAGTAAGCCTGGCCAGGGGCTTAGGCATCTACATTTAAAGCAATCTCACTGGGTTCTGATAAACACCAGCCAGCTGGAGGGCAAGGGGGAGCAAAGGTTAAATGCCTCATGGGTAGCCTTTGCGTGGGCTTCCCTGCCTTAGGGCTTCCCTGTGCGTGACCTGGTACTCCAAAGCCGGTGCCCTGTCCCCAGGCTACTCCAGCTTCCACTCTTGGGGAGATCTAAAGTTGGGCTTTCAAGAACGAAGAAACCTTCTCCAGTCCTTAGGAAGAAATAGGCTCCTCCTTTTTATATCCTTTCCCTTGATCGGATCTTTTCTGGCTTTCTCTCATTCCTAGAGTAGAAGAGTTCAGGGAAAAGGATTCAGTGGGCCCCAGAGGAAAGCTGACAAAAGAGGGAATTTGAGTCAGGTCAAAGCTACAAAGGTAAGGAGAGCCTTTTGGTTACTTAACCTATTCAGCGTAGGACCAGCTAAAGCCTTAGCTAAATAGTACCTGTGTTGCCAGTTCTATCCTTTGCATGCCTATTAGCTTGTGGAGACGGTGTATCAGTCATCCTGACATTGTGCATAGAGTGCATAAGCAGCTGTTTCCATGTCCTCCCCAACGACTATTTTCTCCTGATTGCACAGTTTGTGCTTACTGTCTTCCCTCCACGCTTCCCTTTCTCCTCTTCCACCAGCAAGAAGAGTTGTTAGCATCTTACCTGTTCAAACATGGCTTGGCACTGCTGAACATCAGTTTTACCTAGAGCCTGTAATTTTAACACTTCCACTTACAGCACAGCTAAACTCACAAGCAAACACCATAATCTTACTATACAAATATGAAGGATCTGGTTCAGATGTTCTGAGCCCAGTGAGGGTATGTGGAAGTGGGTACTGACCAGCAGGACCAGAAAGCGCACAGCGAGGGGCGGGGCCACTCCAAATCCCGTTCCCTTGGCCGTCGCTCATGCAGCGGAGGGTGCTCTCTCCCAGGAGGGTGAAGGGCCTCCCTCTGTCTGGGTGGGGGTCACACGTGTAAGTGATTTCCTTTCCGTAGGGAATGCGTCCCAGAGAAGTTCCTGTGTGGTTCCCATGAAGGATAGCTGGAGGATTTGGACAAAAGATTTCTAGAAAAAACACAAGAACTGTAAATTACATGAAAATGTTTAAGTTTTAATCTAGGTGGATTCTACAGTTATGGGATGCTGTGACTGTGCTGCCAATTAAACAGCAATTAAACTCTTAGGGAGGGGACAAAATCTATAAGTTAGGGCTCTGCTGAGGTGCAGTTACATGAGACATCTAAGTCGGTTTTTATTACAGAAGTGCAAAAGGGACTTCAGCAACCTGAACTCTTCAGAGTTAAGACTTCTGGATAACTCAGAACTCAATTCCTTTAAAATAAACAAAAATCTTCTTAACCACATTGCTAAGGAAACCACCCATTAATAAAAAAAAAATCATCCATTAATCCAAAAGTAATATTTTGAGCACCTATGGCATATCAAGTAGTATTTTAAGCACGAGATTGACAAGATCTCTTAACATCAAGGATCCTCAACCTAGGAAATCTTTCAAAATATATTATGTATTTACTATTTTTTCTGTCAATGATTTAATCTCTTCTTGATGGCTTGAAGCTGCTATTCTCGAAAATGAAATGGTTATAGTAATGCTGTCGCAATGAAATGAAACATCCTCCATACTCCTGTGCATGGTCCAGAGGGCTCAGAAATGTTATTACTTTTGAGATGCTTATTGGTTTTGACAATTTTTTTCTCATTGAAGAAACACACGTCTCCTTTTGAGTGTGTCTATTTAGAGAAGTTCCTTCTGATTTGGTTTATATTAAGGAAAAGATTATAGTTTAAAAGAACTAATCAAAGGATAGAATAGCTCCACCAATATGTTCACTCTAGTACGTGATCTCAGGTGTATCTCTGAGTTCATGAGAGTTTTCTTTCTTTTTTTTCTTTCATGCTTCTTCACTATGTTCCAGGAAAGTTAAGATTTTCAAGTAGCTGACTTCCAAATGTGAAAGACGTAATCATCAAGTTTCATTACATAAATCAGTACAGAATGTCCAAATAATTTTAAAACAAAGTGTTCAGTAAAAAAAATTCTATTATAAACATGCCCTTTTCCCACAGCGATGATCTGAAGTTGAAGCCATATCTTGCTTGAGTTAGAGAAGAAGAAAATGGACAGATTGGATGTGTTAATTGTGTTTCTGTATATGGCGCACTAAATTTCTGTCATCTTAAAAACAAAAAATACCTCCTTCAATCCAACTTCTCTCTGTAGCTACGGTCCCATGTCTCGATTCCCTCTACCTTGGAGCTCCTCTAAGATGTTGTCTAGAACCTGTCACTCCTTCACTGTCCCGTAAACTCATTCCAGGCAGGCCTTTGCCCCCACAGTGGTACCGAACTTTTGTCAGGGTCATTCATGACCTCTAAGTCACCAAACATAAGGATAATTTCCCATCCTCATTTTATTTGATCTCTCTGTGGAGTTTGACACAGTTGCTTAGTCTCATCTCCTGAGAAGAATTTCTCGCCTTGCCTTCCAAGATACCTCATCTCGCGGTTTTTCTTTTCCGCACACTGGCTGCTGCTTCTTAACCTCCTTTGCTGATTCCTTCCCATCCTTCCAACGTCTTGATGTTGGATTTATAAGGCTCAGCATCCATTCTCTGGCCCCATTCATTCCCTAGATGGTCTCATTTAATCACTATTTTAAACTCGGTACCTAAACCATCAGCAAAACACGTCCCTGCTGCCTTCAGACGACATCCAGAATCTGGGCACTCCTTATCGCACCTCCCACTGCTATCCGGGGCCAGCATCTTCGGTAAGATCCTTGCAGTAGGCCCCTTAGCTTGTATCCGCAGCAGTATCCTCACATGTACTTGGCTAGATCTGCCTTTCGGGCCCTCAGCTGCTTTGTGAATCAAGAGTGTGATGGATTCCACTTGTGCCTCATTTGGCAGCACTGACTGCCTCAGCCTCCCCAAGGGTGAGAGACGGCTCCTGCGCAGCCTCTGCTGTCCCCTTGCTCACAGAAGACCCCACAGCCAAGGCATGACTGCACCCATGGCTTCTCTGGCTCTTTCTTTTAGGCTCAGGTCAAGTCCAATGCAACAGGTCCCCCAAGTTTGACCAGAGGGATGAGATAATACAATACAGAAGCCAGGGGCTTAATAACCTCAGGGTAAATAGGAGACAGGGGACAGGAAAGACCCAGCAGATAAAGTGCTCGCTCTTCCTGTTTCTAATGGATAGTTCTGGTTTCACAGGGCCTATCCAGGGACGTCCTATATGACCAAACAACCAGCTGCTCTTCTCGAGAAGCTACGGCCACCTCAGGAACAGAATATCTTTTATTTATCTCCTTTATTCTCTCCCTGCCTCTGTGTCTATTCCTGCTCACTCTTGCCAGCCTGGGACTGTGCCCTCCAATAAAACATTATAACTTAAGCTTTGCCTCTGGCACTGTTTTCTGGGGAATCTCCATCCAAGATATCCGCCTTTCAACTCAGCTCTTTTTAGAGTAGCCAGGTTGACAGCATTAAAAATAAGTTAGATCATGTTACTTTTCTATTAATAATACTCCAATGGCTTTCCATCTTGTTCAGAGTGAAAACCTAAGTCCTTACAGGATTCAGAGTTACTTGTCTTTTATCAGCTCCCATTGCTCCTACACTGCTCATTCCACACCAGTCATACTGGCTTCCAAGGAAATGCCAGGCACATTTCTGCCCTCGGCCTTTGTACTTTCTGCTGTACCTTCACATAAAGTTCGCCCTCTGTTTATGCACATGCGTAGTCAACTAATTTTGATCAATGCTCAAATGTTACTTTCTCAGTGAAGACTTCCTTAATCACCTTATTTTAAATGGAAAAATCTATACTTTTCCTGGCATTCTTTATGCCCCTTCATATGACTATCTTATTGTGTTGTCCTGTTTTTTTTCTTAATAACAGTCTATTTATGTGTTTGCTTATTTACTTGTTCTTATTTTTGTCTTTTCTCTTTGCATAAAAGTATAAACAGCATGGGAGTAGGGACCTAGTCTGTCTTATTTACAGGCATACTCTTATTGTCTGGAAGACTGAGATGCTTCAAAATTTCACTGAAAGAACGAGTATATGAATAAATAGATGACTGAGGAAGATGTAGAAAAGCTCAAGTTTGACTATTATTTTTGACGGGAAAAAAGGGAAACTTGACAAAGCTTCAGGTCATAAATGTTTCCCCATCTATGAAGCATTTCTGCCCATTTATCACACTTTGTATCCTTATAAATATTCATAGCATGGCACCCCAAACATGTGATGGTCATAAACCCTCCAAAACATGCCTATTCTACCACAGAAATGTGTCTATCAGAAATGAATAAACAGAGGGACAGAGGTTAGATAACTTCATGGGGCAAAACACATCAAGAAAAAAACAAAAAACCCTGAAGAAACTGAAGAAAATGCAAACTTGAACAGATAGATCCTCCCTGTACGCACGTTCACACACAGGAACGCTGTTACTCCAAAGGCGCTTCATTCCAACCAAGATACAGTAACTAGCAGAATTTCCTTTCAAATGGAACCTAAGGAACAAAAGCAGTAGTTAGTGACCACCAATCATAGGCAGGTCTCAGCTTCTTCCCTATTGCTAAAATACAATGCAATTTCCAAGTTAATCGCAGGTGAAAAAGCTCAGCTCACTTGCAGTTTCAGCTGGCGGAGGCTCAGGACCCCAAACAGTGTGAAAGATTGTAGCTTGCAGTGAGAACAAAGGCCAGGAGTCAGACAGGCCTGAACTGAAGAAGGGAGACAGAACAGACAGGCCGTTATTGGGTCTGGTCCTGGACCTTCAGGAGAACATCCTTGCCTGGCTGCTCTCTGACTGCTCCCTTTCTGTCACTAGGAGAAACTTTGTTGTCTGATGCAAAATGCAGCATTTTCCCCTCTCAGTGCACCAGGAAGAAAACAACTCCTGCTTTAAGTTGGCAAATCAGAGAACATGAGGAAAGATATCAGAGGCTGTTCTTTTTGCCAGTGTTTTTGGAATGTTCCTGAATGAGACCTATGGCAGTTCTGGATTATTAAAGAGAATAGCCAAGTTTTCTGAGAAAAAGGAAAGGTGAGAAGAGAGGATTCTTCAGAAGACAATCATGCCAAAACATCTGGTTAATTGTCAGAGCGGTGGCCTCCTGAACTGCCTCCAAGCCTTTTTGGGTTGACTGGTACTCGATGCCTGAAGGAGTCCTTGGACTATGTTGAGAACAACTGCTCTGCTGTCCGTGCTTTTTACCTGCCAGTGGTGTTGACTGTAGTACTAAGATCATTTAGAGTCACATAAAGAGTTAATGACATCATTTGAAACAAGAACATTGGTCTTCATGCCCCTTCAACAAAGCCTAATACTAATTAGATGATATGTAATTGGACTCAAAATACTTCTACTTATTCCAGATTCCACTATTGATTTGTTTAAAAGTTTCCTGAAACAATCCTTGCATACTTACATATTTAACTTTCTTTCATATATCAAACATTTAAAAACAACCTCTGAAATATTTCTCTGTTCATGTTTATAGATCACTATTTTTTCTTATATGTGATGATCAGCCTAAATATGCAAGATCTGTTGTTATATTTCCACTGTTAGATTTCTGCTTTTGAGTATATTTACCGCTCTTCCTTTTTAAACATCTGTTCACAGTTCCAGGTGGCTCTAACCATATTTCTCAAGCATTGCTTCTGATATTAGTCTCATTCAGTACTTCTCTTCTGTTAGGCAGCCCCCTTGTTTGGATAAATCCCCAGTGCCCGGGGTGTCAGCATAGCAGCATCGAGCACGGCGTCCCTGGTCTCCCTGCCAAGGCACACTCACCCCTCATCACAAACGAAGGACACTTGGGCCCCAAGCTGGAGAGTAAGTGGAGAGAGCACACGGCCGTTGGGGAGTTGCTCCAGGAAGTCAGGACATGATTTCACTAGGAAGAAATAAAATCAGGAGTAAGATTGCCACGTGAGGGACAAAGAGATTGATCAGTAAGTCAGATGAGAACGTAGGTACCTGCACACTGGGGGGCTGCGGGGCTCCAGTCTCCCTGGGGCGTACAGCGCAGAGCAGCAGCCCCTCTGAGCTCATAGCCCGGCTCACAGCTGTACAGCACTTCCTGCCCGGGGGGAAAGTTGTCCGTGTTCCTTGGGGTGTGCTTACCGTGCAGGATTTCTGGAGGGGGCCGACATGCTGGGGAAAGAGCAGCAAATACCTGTCAGGTTTAAGGAAACATCTTTTGCTAGAGTCTAACCCTCCCAAGGAATTAGAGACTCATAATTAAAGGGATTCAGGTATAACCAAGGATGTCAAATGATACTCCAACCCCCTCATTTTACTGATGCGAAAGCTAAGAATGGAGAACGGATGCAGCCAAAGCCTCACAGTTAGAGACAGGGAACTGCAACCCAAGCCCTCACAGCATAAGGTAGAAATACATTCATAGGCCCAGCAGGCCCAGGGGCCCGGCTTCCAGAGCTGGCTATCCAGTATAGGGTTATTAGTGTTCTGGGCTTCTCCACCCCCACATTTGCTGGGGAGGCAACCCAGTATACAGCTTCATCTTTCAGGTGATGAGACAGTCGCCTGAGCCAACATTGACTGAGCAGATTTCTCCTCTTCTCTTTTATTACCCTTCTATGATCAAGTATAGGAATTTCCAAATGTATCTATCTTTGTCAGTGGCAGCACAAGGCTGATACGGGTGGAGTGACTATAAGCTCCCGCTCTGTCCCACTGCTAAGCCAGCTATTGCGGCATCAGAAGCCAAGCCAAGCCATGGAGAACAAAGTCCTCCCAAGAAGTGAGTCCTTGCAAGGAGAAGGCACCTTGCTTAGAAAAGACTGAACTCAAGATCTGGCCGCCTCCATTCACAGCCCTTTTGATATGTGCTCAGGACATCAAAATTCATTTCCAGTTCAAACTAATCTATGTCTAATTACAGATGAATAAAAAAATCTCTTTGGCTTTGAGCAAGTTCCTTTCATTTTCAACTTCAGAATCCTAATGTTAAAATGTAGGAGGTGGACCAGACTAGACAAGCTCTGAGGCCCTCTGTCATTCCGAGGCTGTGCCACTGGTCTTCATGAGCTAGTTTCTGTCTTTCTGCAGCAGATGTTGATGGTGGGGCAACAGCATTCAGACTATGGGGTATAAAACACCTGCATTCTGTTCCTGGGTACGTGACGAAGTGTATGTGATTTGGATAATTTATTAAACCTCTGAAAGATGAAGCTAACTTCACTGTCACAGGGGTGTAAGAACAGCATGATTGTAAAGGAGTATGGGAAAGAGTAGATAAGAAAATGCATATAAGGCGCCTATTACAGAACGCAGCAAGAACTCCACAACGTTCTTCATGTAACTGAGAGAGAGTGGAGCTGGCACTTTGCCCTGAGCGCTGCTCAAAGTGAGTCCCAAATGTCTTTTTCCGTGGTTATTCAAGCTTTGTCCCCCCAAATTTACTCATACTGCTCACCACCCATCTTTCCCCCCAGAACAAGCCCTAAGCTCCTGACCCTCCTACAACTCATGTCATGTGTCGGTCCCTGCAAAGCCTCAGTCAGACTCACCCCTGGAGCACCTCGGCAACTCCGGCCCCCATGTGTTCTGGGCCTGACATCGCACCCTGGACGGTCCTTGCAGGACAAAGCCGGGCTGACACCGAAATGTCACGACTTCATTTAAGGAAAAGAAGCTTCTGTTCTCAGATACCCTTATTCCATGCTCAACGTCTGGAGGCACGCATGTGTTAGGTATGATGCACTGAGGGGGAGGCCCGCTCCAGACACCGACGTGACCGTCCTTGCTGGTGCAGTATATTGATGGCTTGCCCACGAGGTCAAACAGCTTTTGTCCTCTCTTGCCACGTTTGCAGTGATAGGTCACCAGCATTCCATAATGAAAATATTCTCTGTCAGTGCTAACGAAATCTCCATTGGCGATGGCTGGGGGTGGCCCACAAGGAATACCTGGGAAAAGGGAAAACAAGTTCAACAAAACCTCAATTTTCTAGTTATACTCAATCATGAATTTTGGTAACTAGCTTTAAAAAAATCCCAGTTACCAAAATGTCAATATTCACAAAACTGCTACTTTCATCTAATCTTTGTTAATGTACAGGCATGTTTTTATACAATTGCAGGTTAGTTAGCCACAATATTGTGGCATCTGCTCTTCTCAATTAACATTATTTTCAATAACTGTGCCTTGGCATTATTATAGTTCACATGCTTTTCATTTTAAGTAAGATTATATGTTGTTTCACTGGTGTCCATTCAGTTCTGTCTCTCTGGAAGGTACACGGCTGTATCCTATCAGTTATTAGTATGGTAGAGCATTCAGTAGCATATCCTTATCAGAGAAATAAAAGATTTAGACTGCTATGTTAACACTTTTGAAAATGAAGGTATTAGGGATAAAGACATTTTGCCAATATTGACTCAAGAAAAGGTAAAATATAGAAGAAATGGACCATAGACACTCCTAAAAAGATCATTTTATACACAAATTTAAACTTCAATATTCAAGAAACAGGTAACTAACATTTTTGACAGGTATACCTTAAGGTAAGTACTTACTTTTATTTTTAAGAAAATATTTAAGAACCTGCATATTTATTGTAGAAAGTTCACAAAATGTAAATAAAAATCATTTTTCAGCGCATTACCTAGAACAACTGTTAACTGATTAATGTGGAATCTTTAATGCGCTCACACACATTTTTTCTAAAATAGGTTTGTTGATTGAATAATATTCCAGTATAAAGATATACTATCCAATTCCATTTGGAAGAGTTATCTTTCTTGTCTAATGCATTCTGGCATATTTTAAGGTTTTATTTTTAAAGGCATTTTTACAGAACAAATGCCTTATTTCTTTCAGTACATTATTTCCAAAATATTGTTTGGAATATGCTCAGCATTTAAATTATTTTGATTTTTCCACTACTATAAACAATAATGGAGATAACATCTCTACAGCAATCCTTGCAAAAACCCATGGTGACTGTTTTTTTAAAGAACAGATAATGATCTGCAGAAATCCTGGATTGTATGCTTGGATACAGTTAAGATTTTTGATGCATATTATATACCGGCCTGTTAGAAAGTTTATTCTCACTTATCCTACCACCAGCTGGGTTTGAGAGTATTGATTTTTTCTTATTACTACCAAACTCAGGGTTATATAGACTGATATTCTTTGTTAATTTGCAGTTGCTCATTCCTCTATGTGCCCCCAAGTGTAGGAAGCTCATACTCCAAACAACTCATAGAGAAGACGGCAGGTCACTGTTCAGACCAAGAATAAGAGGGAAGGGAGAGCTCCTGATTAAATACATGGCCTGATATAAAGAGCTGGCAGAGGGGAAAGCAGGAATGTTTTCGTTAAATTTGTATTTGTTTACTTCACTAAAGAGAATGATCTTCAAACTGGGAAGTGTTCATCCAACCAAAGAGGGAGTTGGGAGCTGTTTTAAATGAGCTCAAGACTATTGCTTAAAATAATTTATACCCCCAGATAAAGAAACACCAGGAAGAACTAGAAGCTTAGAAAACTGTGAGCACTTTCAAGGATACGGCGGCTTTCTTCAAACAGCAGAAGGATACCACTGCCAAGAGAGATGAGATTTATTCTTTGCAATTCCAGGGGGTGAACTCTAGGATTAACTCTGGGATAAATGGGGAAAGAGATTTCAACGCACGTTCACAAATGGGCGGCTCTGTCTCCCACATGACAGTATTGCCTGAGACGATACACTTAGCAGACGAGCTTCCCAGGAGTCGATACCTAAGGGCAAGAAATGAAAAATAATTATGCTGTACACATTCCATCAATTTTCTCGCAGCATGATGTAATCTGAAAGATTACAACCTGGGAGAAGTCTAAGGATTAGCCTAAAATCCATCTATTTTATTGAGCTTTTTCTTATTTCTATTTCCCGATCATCTCACTATTGAAAGGGTATTTCCTAATTCCCCCTGGCTCCTCTGCTTTTAATTTCCTAGCGTCATTATGGATTGTACCAGGTACCCAAATAAAGCAATCCTTTTGTAGACCTGTTTGAATCATTTTCTTCTTAACTTCTGTTTTCTTCCCTCATATTATCATTGTCATGTTTTAATTCATTTGCATTTTTCTGATACACATATATAATTAATATAGCCATGTCATTGCAGTTTAGGCACACTGCCAGTGAATACAAGCTTTGATACTTTTGACCCTTTTTAGAAGGCTTCACCTTGCAACAGGGAGATTACAGCCATTCAAATTTAGTGAACTAAGTGGTATGCTTCATCTTGGTCATCACTATTTAGACCACCTCTTTCATAATGTCCAGTGATGAGGATTCAGCAATAAATAAAGCAGATCTGCCCCAAACATGAGGGGCTTGTTTCTGGCAGAAGAGTCAGATGCTTTTTCTTTGTATTGCTTTTTCTTCCCTTTCTTTTGCTAAATGAAACAAGTAGGTGAACCTCTCTTCATTGCTCTAGTAATTTGGAAGTTAAATGTCCAATTTTTGCTCCATTACAAATTTCATTCTGTGCATGTGTAGTGTGTGTGTGTACATACATACACATAATACACCACACACATAGTTAAACCTATTTTCTCCATTTGAGTATCAAAATAAGTACAGTCTATCCATCCCCTATATAAGTCCAGACTATATTGTCTTGCATTCCCCCATTTTCTAGTTTTATGAACATATGTTATGATTTTAGAGATTGTTAGTAATTAGGATTACATTGCAAAATTTCACTTTTTAACAGTTAGTTCTGTCATTGTATTCAGTTTCATAATTGTAGGAAATATTTGACCATGTTTTTTAAAACTTCTGTTTTGTGTTTACCATTTTCTTACCTAATACTTCTTTTGTACTTTATCATTTTCCTTAAAAACAATTACTAATCTATTGCCTGAATTTACCTTTTTTCTTTTCCCAGAAAGTATACATAAGTGGGGTAATTTTGTAATTTCGTTGCTTATCCTTTAATGCATATCTAGAGCTTCTAGATGTGAATATTAGCTTGAGAAGCGTTAGAAGCAATTTAGTTAGATAAGAATCAATGTGATGTCAGTATAAATTACTTTTTTTGTAGGTATTATAGTTTATTAATTTTCTTTCTGCATTACTGAAGACTTTCTTTATCCATGAAATACAGAAGTTTCTATCATGATGGCTAGGTATGGGCTTATTGTTTCCCCTTCTGGAATTTTTTGTTACATGTATTTTGAATCCTAGTACTTTCTTACACATATCTTCTCTTTTCTCTTTTTCTTTATCCTTTTCCACTGAATTCTGGGAGAATTTGATTAATTGTTCCTCTCTCTGCTTTAATCTTCTACAATATTCTGCATGTTTTTGCATTCTTTTGCTAGTTTGACAATTGCGCTTCTCATTCATGTGCAAACATTCCTGATACCCTAGTTTGTTTCACAGAAGCAGTGTGCACTGAATTAAAAATATGAACAGGAGGTTTTTCAACATTTGCTGCTGATTTCTTGGAAGTAACGATGTTTGTAAGAGAAATTCCTTTTTGAATTTCTCAGATTGGTCTCTTTTACATTAACTTCCTGTAACTTATCATAAGCTCAATGGTTTTCTTCCTTTTTATACTATAAGGAGTGTCACCCTTATTCCATAATGCAAGATGAAGAGGGAACAGTCAGAGAATTTATAGATTGTACTAAAAAATAGAGAAAGAGGTGAGTGTTTAGATTCTAATTTCACTTTGTCAGCTTGTAGGTACAATGGCCTGTAAGGCCTAGGGTGGCAAATCTGCCGGAAACCATATTTCTTTGCAGTGTTCATCACGGCAGCCCACATTTAGCCTACAGTGCCTCACTGACTGAGCCGCTCACACTGAGATGGAGGCTGAGACTTCATTACATGCTGAGCAAGGGTCAGCACCAAGGGCAGAGCCACTGCCCTGTGTGTCTCACATTCTACACAGGGGGTTTCTGCTACGGGTTGAATAGTGTTCCCTGAACACGTATGTTGAACTCCTAGCCCACAACCCCCATGAATGTACCCTTGTTTGGACACAGGGCCTTTGCAGGTATAATAAGTTAAGATGAGGTCATTAGGGTGGACCCCAACCCAATATGATTGGTGTCCCTATTAAAAAAAAAAGAGCACTTTGGACTTGGACCCACTCAGAGAGGAGAATGTCGTGTGAAGACACAGACATGGAGGGAGGATGGCCGTGAGAATCAGAGGAGAAACTGGAGCGATGCTGCCCCGTGCCAAGGAAGGCCCGAGGCTCCCAGAAGCTGGAAGAGGCCAGGAGAGATCCTCCCTCAGAGGCTCTGAGGGAACATGTCCTGCTGACACCTTGATTTTGGACTTCTAGCCTCCAGAACTGTGAGGACATAAAATCTGTTATTCTAGGCCACCCAGTTTGAGGTACTTTGTTATGGCAACTTTGCAAACTGATAGTGTGGTCATCTTTCAGTTTTGCTTTCTCACACAATTCCTAAAGGACTTCTCTTTCTTCCAGTGATGTCTTCTCTGAGTGAGGGCTGTTGGCATGGTTTGAGGATGCCCTGCCCCCAATTTCTGCCTTTCTACCTGGTGAATACCTCATTTATCTTGTACGCACTATCCTGGTTTCCAGCAAGGGTGCAGATCACGTACCCCATGCCCCCACCCCCTTATCATATCTTTGTTCATTTCAATCAGGAGTTAAACACCTGTGTTCCAGCTTTTTAAGAGCAGATATTATAGCCTGGTTCTCCTTTTGAGGGGTTGCTAGAAGGTAGTACTACTGTTCTGGAGCTCTGGAGCCAAGAATGTTGGCTGCCAACTCACCCTATATTACAAGAATAATTGATTCTGGATATGAACTCCGTGTTTGTGCCTATGTGCACCACACCGTTCACAGGATCTGGAGGAGTCCTACATGATTTACCTGCAGAAAAAGAAATAGAATTTTGGAGCCAGGAACAGTAATTTGAACTTCTGTTAGTACGTAAGGTCCCAACTTGACGGTAGCATATGCACCTCTGATGGTTCCACAGATTTTGCCGTTTTGAGAAGCCTCAACATACTGCCTCGGGATCCGCCACCTATGTGCACCACTGTCAAATGACCTCCCCTCTAATGAAGTGCACCATGACAATACAGCCAATGGCTCTGTAGCATCTTTTATGTTGACAGATAGTAACTGCACTAGTGGGGGTGAGGATTTAATGTGTGTAACTGTGAACCACTGCGTTGTGTACTTGAAACCAATATTGTGCATCAACTCTACTTCAGTGAAAAAAAAAACCTCCCCTCTAGATTTGTATTATCTCCACCTCAAATGTCTTTTCAAAATATAAAGGTTATTTATGGCCTTATATCCTAGCAGTATATAATTTCTCTTCCCACCTGGATATTCAAATAGTTTATATCTCCTTACAATTTTTTTTTTGCTAGTATGGGGTCATTCATTATTTACTTTCTCATTGGGAATGACTTTTTCCTGCAAATAGTGCTTGAAACATTCTCATGAAATAAATATTTGAACCAATAAATTAGGGATGACCTACAAGACAAACTCGTATGTCCACCTATCCAAACACTCTTGACAAAGGTTTTCATCTCTAAAATTTGAACATATTAAATAAGATCCTACAGATACTTCAACAAACATAGGAAAGCTTCAGTGTAGGGTTTACTCACGTTTACAGACATGTTTGGCTCTTGACCACATCTGGTTTTCCAGACATGTGATAGAGAAAGACTTCCTGTAGTACTCAGGGTTGCATTCATAATTTAAAGATGTCCCAAAGGGAAACACAGTTTCGTTGGTCTGGATTTTCAACTTAGCGTACTGAAAAGGATCTGGGGCATTACAGTAACCTAGAGACCAAGAAATCAACATCAGACTTAACAAAAAGATGCCCAATGCCCTTCTTCTTTCTCTCTGGTTAGAGCTGATGCCAGAACAAGAAAGACTTTAAGGTATTGAAAGATAATCTCCTTGTAACCTTCAGAGCAAAAGTTCCCTTGGCACATGTCCATAGAAAGTAGACTATTCGGAAGGCTATTCCACTATCTGGTCAGTTAGCTCATATAATATACTGTAAAAGACAGCTCAAATTCAGTGTTTCACATTTTTAGGGCACCATAAAGAGTGCTCCCGCCCAGGTTCCGCCTTTCCTCTCTGGTTTCCTTGTACTTCAGCACATCAAAACCCCAATGGAGGGCTCATAAGCATGAATGAAGAACTCAAGATACTGGTGGCACTGGGACACAGCCACCAACTTGCTAGGCCCGATGACTAACCAGCCATTTCCACACAAGAAGGAAACAAATAGCTTCTCTTTAAAATAAAAACAAACTTATGAAAACTACCGTCCTTATATAAGAAAACATAGTTTGAAATGTATGTTGAATCAAAGGCTAGCTTTAGCTCCACGCCCCTATGGCGTATTAGCTGTAAGCTTCAAGAAGTAAAACCTCATTTTGCATGCAGATGATATGAAATCAAAAAAGCATATATGCATGGAAAAATCAGAATAATCTCCACTTGGTTTTGACAATACCTTCTCTTTTAGCTTCTGTTTCAGCTCTCTTCCACCTTCCTTCCAATTATATCCAAATAGTAAAAGTTATCCTAGGGCCAATTTTGCACCCAGAGAATTCTCTGCATGCAGATTTGCGAACCAATTTCTCATCTCCTTATTGTAATTAAATACTTTTTCTCAATATAAACAGTTGGTTTATTTTCAAGGTTTCTTCACAGGATACGGATCCATCTATATTGCCTGTTACCATTTTATCTTAGAGCTTAAATGCTCAAGGAGTCCCTATTATGTCTAAAACCTACCATATACTAAAATCACACATAAAGAGGTCTGGCTGGTCTTCAGTCTAAAAATCTAGCTGATAAAACTAGGCCAGCTCTCTCAGGATAGCATTCTGATGAACAAAACTCATGGAACCTAGGGGGAGATTGGCTCTGGCTGTTGATGCAGTCAGTCTGGACTAGGTCTCTGTAGTTGTAAGCAGGCTCCTAGGTGCACCCCAAGTAGAAGCTGTAGTGTTGGAGAAGTAGGGTGACTTCTGAGTGACTGGCCCTTGGTCTTCTCAGATTGCTCTTTTCTCTCAGAGTTCCCAGAAGTCCTCACGTTATGCCAGGACTAGAGTCCCTTCTACAATTTACTTTCTCCTGCCCCTCCTCACTTCCTGAGGGTGGGTGCCCTGGGGGGTGGATGTCTTAGGAAGCCTTCTCCCCATCTTAGAAATACACACTCTCTTTATGTTGCATTTGTCCCTTGAGGTCATGTTCCTTGCCTTTTTCTTTCCACCAAAATGGGGAGAGACCGACAGCTAAAATTAGTGTGGGGCTAAGGAGCAAGAAAGCCTTATTTTAATTCAGAACTTAGCCCAAATTGCCTAAAGGAATCTTTGTGGTTTGTCTATAAAACTGAGCGGGTACTCACCCCTTGGTGAAGCCCCTCAGACTTCTCATTAACAAAGAGAAGTCCCAGTCCCTCAGTCATGTGGGAATTAGACTGGGTGGTTAGAGATGAGAGGACATGGAAGTTTGCAACCAAGGTTAAGCAAGTTAAACAAACACAGGGCGCTGAGTTCCCCCTCAAGGCAATAGATAAATTCTTGACACATACATCCTTGAGATGTGGCAGGAACTAAGACCCCTCCCTCACCAGATGGGCCCCCTGCTTAGACATTATTGCTACAATGTATTCCAGGTGGATTAGTCACCTCAGTTAAAGATGAAGCTTTTCCTTCACAACTTCCCAACACTGACCATGTGCACTTTGTTCATTTCAATCAGGAGTTAAACACCTGTGTTCCAGCTTTTTAAGAGCAGATATTATAGCCTGGTTCTCCTTTTGAGGGGTTGCTAGAAGGTAGTACTACTGTTCTGGAGCTCTGGAGCCAAGAATGTTGGCTGCCAACTCACCCTATATTACAAGAATAATTGATTCTGGATATGAACTCCGTGTTTGTGCCTATGTGCACCACACCATTCACAGGATCTGGAGGAGTCCTACATGATTTACCTGCAGAAAAAGAAATAGAATTTTGGAGCCAGGAACAGTAATTTGAACTTCTGTTAGTACGTAAGGTCCCAACTTGACGGTAGCATATGCACCTCTGATGGTTCCACAGATTTTGCCGTTTTGAGAAGCCTCAACATACTGCCTCGGGATCCGCCACCTATGTGCACCACTGTCAAATGACCTCCCCTCTAATGAAGTGCACCATGACAATACAGCCAATGGCTCTGTAGCATCTTTTATGTTGACAGATAGTAACTGCACTAGTGGGGGTGAGGATTTAATGTGTGTAACTGTGAACCACTGCGTTGTATACTTGAAACCAATATTGTGCATCAACTCTACTTCAGTGAAAAAAAAAACCTCCCCTCTAGATTTGTACTATCTCCACCTCAAATCTCTTTTCAAAATATAAAGGTTATTTATGGCCTTATATCCTAGCAGTATATAATTTCTCTTCCCACCTGGATATTCAAATAGTTTATATCTCCTTACAATTTTTTTTTTGCTAGTATGGGGTCATTCATTATTTACTTTCTCATTGGGAATGACTTTTTCCTGCAAATAGTGCTTGAAACATTCTCATGAAATAAATATTTGAACCAATAAATTAGGGATGACCTACAAGACAAACTCGTATGTCCACCTATCCAAACACTCTTGACAAAGGTTTTCATCTCTAAAATTTGAACATATTAAATAAGATCCTACAGATACTTCAACAAACATAGGAAAGCTTCAGTGTAGGGTTTACTCACGTTTACAGACATGTTTGGCTCTTGACCACATCTGGTTTTCCAGACATGTGATAGAGAAAGACTTCCTGTAGTACTCAGGGTTGCATTCATAATTTAAAGATGTCCCAAAGGGAAACACAGTTTCGTTGGTCTGGATTTTCAACTTAGCGTACTGAAAAGGATCTGGGGCATTACAGTAACCTAGAGACCAAGAAATCAACATCAGACTTAACAAAAAGATGCCCAATGCCCTTCTTCTTTCTCTCTGGTTAGAGCTGATGCCAGAACAAGAAAGACTTTAAGGTATTGAAAGATAATCTCCTTGTAACCTTCAGAGCAAAAGTTCCCTTGGCACATGTCCATAGAAAGTAGACTATTCGGAAGGCTATTCCACTATCTGGTCAGTTAGCTCATATAATATACTGTAAAAGACAGCTCAAATTCAGTGTTTCACATTTTTAGGGCACCATAAAGAGTGCTCCAGCCCAGGTTCCGCCTTTCCTCTCTGGTCTCCTTGTACTTCAGCACATCAAAACCCCAATGGAGGGCTCATAAGCATGAATGAAGAACTCAAGATACTGGTGGCACTGGGACACAGCCACCAACTTGCTAGGCCCGATGACTAACCAGCCATTTCCACACAAGAAGGAAACAAATAGCTTCTCTTTAAAATAAAAACAAACTTATAAAAACTACCGTCCTTATATAAGAAAACAGTTTGAAATGTATGTTGAATCAAAGGCTAGCTTTAGCTCCACGCCCCTATGGCGTATTAGCTGTAAGCTTCAAGAAGTAAAACCTCATTTTGCATGCAGATGATATGAAATCAAAAAAGCATATATGCATGGAAAAATCAGAATCATCTCCACTTGGTTTTGACAATACCTTCTCTTTTAGCTTCTGTTTCAGCTCTCTTCCACCTTCCTTCCAATTATATCCAAATAGTAAAAGTTATCCTAGGGCCAATTTTGCACCCAGAGAATTCTCTGCATGCAGATTTGCGAACCAATTTCTCATCTCCTTAGTGTAATTAAATACTTTTTCTCAATATAAACAGTTGGTTTATTTTCAAGGTTTCTTCACAGGATACGGATCTATCTATATTGCCTGTTACCATTTTATCTTAGAGCTTAAATGCTCAAGGAGTCCCTATTATGTCTAAAACCTACCATATACTAAAATCACACATAAAGAGGTCTGGCTGGTCTTCAGTCTAAAAATCTAGCTGATAAAACTAGGCCAGCTCTCTCAGGATAGCATTCTGATGAACAAAACTCATGGAACCTAGGGGGAGATTGGCTCTGGCTGTTGATGCAGTCAGTCTGGACTAGGTCTCTGTAGTTGTAAGCAGGCTCCTAGGTGCACCCCAAGTAGAAGCTGTAGTGTTGGAGAAGTAGGGTGACTTCTGAGTGACTGGCCCTTGGTCTTCTCAGATTGCTCTTTTCTCTCAGAGTTCCCAGAAGTCCTCACGTTATGCCAGGACTAGAGTCCCTTCTACAATTTACTTTCTCCTGCCCCTCCTCACTTCCTGAGGGTGGGTGCCCTGGGGGGTGGATGTCTTAGGAAGCCTTCTCCCCATCTTAGAAATACACACTCTCTTTATGTTGCATTTGTCCCTTGAGGTCATGTTCCTTGCCTTTTTCTTTCCACCAAAATGGGGAGAGACCGACAGCTAAAATTAGTGTGGGGCTAAGGAGCAAGAAAGCCTTATTTTAATTCAGAACTTAGCCCAAATTGCCTAAAGGAATCTTTGTGGTTTGTCTATAAAACTGAGCGGGTACTCACCCCTTGGTGAAGCCCCTCAGACTTCTCATTAACAAAGAGAAGTCCCAGTCCCTCAGTCATGTGGGAATTAGACTGGGTGGTTAGAGATGAGAGGACATGGAAGTTTGCAACCAAGGTTAAGCAAGTTAAACAAACACAGGGCGCTGAGTTCCCCCTCAAGGCAATAGATAAATTCTTGACACATACATCCTTGAGATGTGGCAGGAACTTAGACCCCTCCCTCACCAGATGGGCCCCCTGCTTAGACATTATTGCTACAATGTATTCCAGGTGGATTAGTCACCTCAGTTAAAGATGAAGCTTTTCCTTCACAACTTCCCAACACTGACCATGTGCCACAAGCCCATAGACCTCAGGGTGGAGCCAGAAAACTGACAGCTAAGACTCCTCAAGCAATGCCCTGTCACCTCACCACTGACCAGTCAGAAGAATGTGCACAAGCTGAGCACACACCCTGCAATTCCTAATTTTGCCTTTAAAAACCTTGCATATAAGCCAATGGGGAGTTTGGATTCCTGAGCATTAGCTACCTGTTCTCCTTGCTTGGCACCTTGTAATAAATGCCTAATTTCTTACACTACATCCTAACATCAGTGTTTGGCTTGCTGTGCATTGGGCAAGAGGACCCAGGTTTGGTTCAATAACATCTATAAGGCAGCCCAGTTTTCATAGAGAATGTACAGGGGTCTCAGGCCAAATAGGTAATTAAAAGCGATTTTGCCTGGCTTTGTACTCTGCTGGCCTGTGCTTCCCTCCAAGACCTGTGAGGATAGTATAACTAAAACTAGTTAAGGTTCATAGGTATTTGCTTTCAATTCCAATGCTCTCAAAACATTTTCCTTCTAATTCTAATCAGAATTAGAACCACCACCCACCACCTCCCTCTCTCTTCACCAGCCCTGCAGCAGAGAATGCCATCAGAGTCTGACTTGTTAACATAGTTTAAAACCATTTATTACTGATGTGGCATTTAATTGTGTCATGTGCACAAATAAGCTCCACATTGTAATCACAGAAATATAGAGGGTCTGGTTTAGATATTCTGGAATGTGGGGTAGGGTGCACTAACCCGGAAGTCCACAGCGAGGGGCGGGGCCGCTCCAAATCCCAGTCCCTTGACCGTCGCTTGTACAGCGGAGGGTGCTCTCCCCAGTGAGGGAAAAGGTCATCCCTCTGTATGGGTGGGGGTCACATGAGTAAGTTACTTCTTTTCCAAAAGGGAAGACTTCCCGAGGTTTTCCTGTGTGTCTCCCATTGAGGATAGCTGGAGGATTTGGACACAAGATTTCTGCAAAGAAGATAAGAGCTCTGCCTCACTGGAGGTATTCTACAGTCATAGGCTGCTATGGTGGCTGCTACCTTAAAATCACTATCCATCAGACCTTGGACGGGAGGGACTAAATGAAGAGGTCTTAACCTCATTTTTTTCAAATTGAAAAAGTACAAAAGAAATTTGCCTATCTTGAATCTTCCAGATTGTTACGTTTTCTGGAAAATAGAAGCTTTACACCTTTAAATAAGACCTAAACTTTTAGAGAAGAAAAATAACCCTTTGGAGGGTAACTCATTCATTTACTCAACATGTATTCATTGAGCACTTACTCTGTACCAGCCACTCATCTGGGCACTGGGGATGTAGTGGTGAAGAGCAGAGATTAGGTCTCAGCCCTCCAAGGAGTTGACACTCTCGGACATTATTTCTACAATGAATTCCAGGCGTAATGGTCACCTTAGTTAAAGATGAAGCCTTTCCTTCACAGCTTCCCAATAGTGACCATCAGTCTTGGTTGTGGTAGTAGTGCCATCACAGTGAATTGAAACATATACGGGTCATTGTAAAAATGCTGAATGATTTAGATCTCCTTGTTTTTTAAAATATGTGGATCTGCTTATTTATTTTTTCTTTACATTTTTTAGGCCTCAAATTATTACATCTTACTGGTATATGCTTGTCTGTTTAAAACAGTCCCCTCTTCACTTCTCACTGGCATTTCTAATTAGGCTTGGGATTTGGAAGAAACTACTTCAACCAGTAAGAGTCATGAAAAATAAGAGAAACAGTTGAGTGACTGAGCTCTGATGCATGCCAGTGGGATGGATGGCTATTTGTCATGTTGCTTCAATGAACACTGGGTTTCCTGGGTAGCAGAGATTTATATATGCTTTGCTCCTAGGAAGTTTTACTATAGAAAGCATCATATGGTGTCTGAGTAGATTTCTAGCAACACAAACATTTTAGCAAAATTGGACTGTTTAAAAAACATGTACTTTCCAGTCTTTAGGATCAAGAGATGAAGCAAAGTCATGTCTTCTATCGCAGAAAACACAAATGGGGAGACTGGGAGAAATCAGTAGTGATGCTGCATACAGGAGAGTCATTTTTTAATCAGCTTACTGCTGAATGTTTCAGCCTAATTTATTTAGGTACATGTTTTGAGAGTTTAATGAGTCTTGCACCACTTACCCTGTGTAATGTTGCTCCCCACTTTCCCCATTCCTGCATTGCTCTGATCTGTCATTTTCATAGCATTTAATTTGTTTGTTTCTTTGCCCTTCTCCCCACTTGAGAATCAATAACACAGGGACAAGGAATTAGCTCATCTTGTTCATGGCTGTAACACCAGTGCCTAGAAGACTATCAAGCACAGAGTATGTGCTCAATAAATGACTGAATGAATGAATAATTCATATCAGTATATTAGTAAACGGGAAAATTGCAGAGGAACTGCACCTTGACGACAGGAAGAAAAAAAAAAAAGAAAGAAGGAAGGAAGGAAGAAAACAAAGAAAGAGAGAAATTCACCAAAGTTTCACATCATCTATTCTCTCCTGACCTAGAGGTGAACTAAGGCTGGATTTGTCATACAGCACACAAAATTCAAAATGACAGAGGCTGATTAAATGGTTCCCAACCATGTTGCTCAACAACGTTCATCACAATAAATCGATTCACAAAAACTACTGTTAGCATAAGCAACTTTCAATAATTCAGATTAGAAAACAGAAGAGCCACACCAGGCAAGGTCACAAGGTCAAAGTACTAAACAGATTAAGGGGAAAGATTGGCCTGAAGCTTTATTCCTCTACTCACGTTCACACACAGGAACACTGCTGTTCCAAAGGGTTTCCATTCCAACCAAGACACAGTGACTAGCAGAGCTGCCTTTTAATTGGAACCTAAAGAAGAAAATGGTAGTGAATAGGTGAGCTGTGTCAGCCACAGTGCCATTCACTCTGCAATCTGAGGCCTTGCTGAACAGTGCAGCATACTGAGGATCTGAAACCAGCAGGTGGCACAGGTTCAGAGGCCACGTCAATCTGGAAAAATCACAGCCTCTGAAAGAGAGGCCAGAACAGCACAGCATCTTGGTCTTGTAATAGTCTCAGCCTGAACTGAAAAAGGGGGTCATTGCATCGCGGCCATCTCTGGACCCAGACTCGGAGAGGTGGCTCTCTCCTTGATCATTTCCTGGCAAATCTGATCAGTCTACTCATTGTCGTTATCAGAAACCCAGTCTTCCAGGGCGACATCCTCTTAATGCTGACACTGGACCAGCAAGTAAAACAGCTCCCAGCCTGGACTGGAAAAGCAGAGAATAACTGGAACAAGAACACAGATTGTCCTCTGCACTAGTGATGGTTGTGAAGAAAGCTCACCACAGCACATGTTGGGCTACTGAAGAGTAAATTTGAATATTCTAGGGAAAAAGAGAAGGGAGACTGGAAATGAATTTTGTATGGAATCATCCCAAATTCTCAATGTATGTTGGACCCTCATGGCTTTTAAATCTTGGGGGCTGGTATTTTGTGCCACCAAAGATTCTTCGGAACATTCTGAGTTAGGTGCTCGGATGTTCACGTTTGATACACCCATGGAGAGAGGTGCACACTGAGAACAGTACTAGATTCACACAAACAGGTTAATGTCCTTACCTAAACCGTCAACTTCCGCCCCCACGATCCCTTAGTCCGTTACTAACCAGATGAGGGATGACTGAATTAAAAATGCTTATTCTCATACTTTCAGTCCAAGAACAAATTTCACTTTAGATGGCTTAAAAATTTTCTGCAATAATTCTTAAATGATCTTAGTTATTTTTAATAAGAGTTTTGTTACATATCAAACTTTTTCTGGGACTCATCAAATTACTATTATTCTACCCTACTTGGAAAATATTATTTTCTTCCCTTAATATGCCATATATATATATATATTCATGACCCGAAGTTGTATTTGTCTTTGAACCTGCCATTTCATGTATGCCCCAGTTTTTTCCTCCTGCCTTGTGTTATTAGTTCTATTTGTCCCTTGGTCTTACTTCCCGTATTCACTTCCAAAATTTAATCTCCCTGGATATTTCTTTTTTACCCAAAACTACACCAAAACTTTCCCTTTAAAATGAACTCCTAACCACAATTTCAGTGTCCAGCAGGCCAGGCAAGCTCACACTCACCCCTCATCACAAACAAAGGACACTTTTGCCCCAAGCTGGAGATTAAGTGGCAATAACACTCGGCCACTAGGGAGCTGGTCCAGGAAGTCTGCACAGGATTTTACTGGAGAAAAAGAAAAGTGAACAGAAATGACACTGGTATGTTGAAAATACAAACACAAGCTAAATATGTCAAAGCAGTTGGGAGCATACACACCTTCACACTGGGGGGCTGCGGGGCTCCAGTCTCCCTGGGGTGTACAGCGCAGAGCAGCAGCCCCTCTGAGCTCATAGCCGGGCTCACAGCTGTACAACACTTCCTGCCCAGGGAAAAAGTTGTCCATGTTCCTTGGGGTGTGTTTACCATGCAGGATTTCTGGAGGGGGTGGACAGACTGCGGGGGAAAGAACCGCAAAGTACTGTTCATTGAGTGAAAATAACTTTTCCTCGGTGGTGAGCTGGCCAAGAGAATCATGACTACAAGCCTGCATATTTTTTAAAAATCTGGTAGAATAACACCCTTATGTTATCCATGGGAAAATTAAATACCCACACATGCGCGCATGTGCACAAACAGAGGAAGTGTGCCAAAAACCACAGAACGGATACACTGCAGAACTGTAACCAGAACTGAGATATCCTTGGTTTATTGTTTTTCATCTAAAGTACACACCTAACATCACACAGCAGACAGCTCCTTCCTAGAATGCTTCTCACTACTGTTCACCAGCACACAATTGTTAAGACTAGTGGATTTTTGTACCTTCACACTATGATAGTGAAAAAGGTTGGCATCTTTGCCTTTGTATTGCATCCATTTACTTTGCTGATTTAATCTCTGGGTCAAAAAGCTTCTACCCAGCCCTGCAGCCCTGCATGTAGGCTTCCTAATCATCAGAAGGAATTTTGCTCATGACTTAAGACTGATGCAACCAACCCTTACCCCAAACTCGCCTCCACTGAAGAGATAAAGAATAATGCACAAAAATGATGGCTGGATTCTCGTGGGCTTATGGGAACATCATGGCCTGGCACGTGTCAACAGAATGACTGGCATCAACTAACCAAGGACAAGGAGCTTCACAACCCTCCCCAGACCCTTGCTGACGTACAGATGTCTGAAATTGATCTTCACTTCTGACCTCAACTCCTTTTTTCTTTGCTCCTTCCCTAATTATAAAAGAAGCTAAGTTAAGGTGGTGCTTTAGGACATCAGTCTGCCCTCTTCTCAGTATGATGGTTTTCTGCATAAAGCTGCTTTCCTTGGCCCAGCACCTTGTCTCTCAACCTATTGGCATGTCGTGCAGCAAGTAGCACAGACTTGGACTGTGTAACAACACCTCCTTTCTAGAAAGGCATCATCAATTTATAATTCACCTTTTAGGCAATAAGGAACACTTCCACCTAAGTCTCATCTAACAGATATCCCAACCACCTGTCACACTCTGGGGCAGCAAACAGGATCTGCACATCTCTTCTCACTCCTTCTAACGCTTTTCTCAGCTGCCAGCTGACATGGGTTAGCAACTATGTGTCTTCTTTCTACAGTCTGTATAGCTGGCTGCTGCTTAACCATACATTTCATTCCAGTGAGAAGGTGGACAACCACTGAATGAAATCTTTAAAAAAATACATAGTCCTCTAGTTCAACCATTGTGGAAAGCAGTATGGAGGTGCCTCAAAAAACTAAAAATAGAAATACCATTTGACCCAGGAATTCCACTCCTAGGAATTTACCCTAAGAATGCAGTTCCCCAGTCTCAAAAAGACATATGCACCCCTGTTTATCGCAGCACTATTTACAATAGCCAAGAAATGGAAGCAACCTAAGTGTCCATCAGTAGATGAATGGATAAAGAAGATGTGGTACATATACACAATGGAGTATTACTCAGCCATAAGAAGAAAACAAATCCTACCATTTGCAACAACATGGATGGAGCTAGAGGGTATTATGCTCAGTGAAATAAGCCAGGTGGACAAAGAAAAGTACCAAATGATTTCACTCATCTGTGGAGCACAAGAACAAAGCAAAAACTGAAAACAAAACAGCAGCAGAATCATAGAACCCAGGAATGGACTAACAGTTGCCAAAGGGAAAGGGGCTGGGTGGGGGGTGGGAAGGGAGGGAGAAGGGGAATAAGGGGTATTATGATTAGCACACATAATGTAGCGGGGTGGTGGTGGCACAGGGAAGGCAGTACAGCACAGAGAAGAGAAGTAGTGATTCTATAGCATCTTACTATGCTGATGGACAGTGACTATAATGGGGTATGTGGTGGCAACTTGATAATGGGGGGGATCTAATAATCACAATTTGCTCATGTAATTGTGTATTAATGCTACCAAAATTAAAAAAAATACATAGTCCTCATAAAGAGAGTACATATGGCATACAACATATTATAACTGAGTCTCTGACTATCCCTTTATACAGCTGGTTTGAATTCAGAGTCAGAACACACTTTAGTGTCAACTAAATTATATAAAATAATTTACAATAACCAAAATATGTAAACAGCCTAAGTACCCATCAATAGATGAAAGGATAAAGAAGATGTAGTACATATATACAATGGAATATCACACAGCCATAAAAAATAATGGAATCTTGCCATTTGCAACAACATGAATAGGCCTAGAGGATATTATGTTACGTTAAATAAGTCAGACAGAGAAAGGCAAATACCATATGATTTCACCTATTTGTGGAAACTAAAAAACAAAACAAACAAACAAACAAAACAGAAATATCCTCATTGACACAGAGAACAGACTGGTGGTTGCCGTAGTGGAGGGGGTATGGAGGATAGGTGAAATAGTTGAAGGGAAAAATGAGTGAAAATGTTTGGTATCTTGATCTGGGCATTGATTACGTGAGTCTATACACATATTCAAACTCATCTATCTGTACACTAAGATTGGTGCTTTTTATTGTATGTACCTCAATATAAAAAATCTGTAAATGGCATAAAAATGAATAAAAGTAATATTCTTAAAAATTACATAGAACTGTAGTAAAATGAAAAATCTTTTCATTTTGGCTTAGAGCAGGTCAGTTCCTCTCTTTGCACATCAGCTTTCTCAAGTATAAAATGGGGGATTGGGCTGGAATAAATAACCCTCTTCGTAAGTACGCTGATACTATAATCCCAGAACTCATCCTCCTCCTATTTCCCTTGATTAATAAATGCATTGGGATGATATTTAAGTGTCGTGCTGGTTAAGTCTGTGTTGACTCCCAGCTTCACACTTCTGCATCATTGGGGATGAAAGACAGAAAACTACAACTGCATCTTCCTTGCCCACTGGGTTCTGGTGAGGCTCTGCCGATCGGAGGCATACATGACAAATTAAAAGGCAGGGAGAAGATAAAAGCCATTCTCCTTCTAGAGAAGGCTCAGGAAGTGGCCATATTGATGGCTCTCGCATAACAGCAGCAACTGCAATTCCAGCAATGCTGGTGGCTTTGGCTCTGGCATCTCAGCTGCGCTCTGGCAGCACAGGTGGCTTCTGCAGCACTAGCCCCAGTGGAGGGGAGGCCTGCTCACTGATGGTTTTGGCCTCGAGTGCATGCACCTGTGCTCTAGCCCAGGAGGAGCAGCAGCTACCTGGTCTGCTAACACTGCATGCTTTCTTTTGCTCTTCCTGTCCTTCTAACATCTTTATATCTGATAATCTGCACTAAATCCTTCACTCCTTGAAATATCTAGAGTGGTTTTTGATTTCCATGGCCCTAAAGTTAGGCAGACAGGGGTTCCAGTCTTCAGTGTGCAATTTAGTATTTGTTTAATCATGGAACATTATCTAACCTCTCTAAGCCTCATTTTCTCTGTAAAACATGGAATGAATAATAGCTCCCTCATACCTTTATTTTAAGGATTAGCAATTATTATACTCAAAAGCCACTGATTGATGATGGAGCTCGGAGGTAGTAATACGTGCAGAGAACTTCTGTTTATAAGAATCTCAGGGAAACTTCACGTTCCTTGCCCTAATTTAGCTTTTCTTCTCTATTTGAACACATGCACATGTATACATACATATACACACACCTTTTAAATTTCCTTCCCAAGAAAATTCCCTCATCTGCATTGCTCACCACCCATCTTTCCCCCAGAACAAGAACTAAGCTCCTGACCCTCCTACAACTCATGTCATGTGTCGGCCCCTGCAAAGCCTCAGTCAGACTCACCCCTGGAGCACCTCGGCAACTCCGGCCCCCATGTGTTCTGGGCCTGACATCGCACCCTGGACGGTCCTTGCAGGACAAAGCCAGGCTGACACCGAAATGTCACGACTTCATTTAAGGAAAAGAAGCTTCTGTTCTCAGATACCCTTATTCCATGCTCAACGTCTGGAGGCATGCATGTGTTAGGTATGATGCACCGAGGGGGAGGCCCGCTCCAGACGCCGACGTGACCGTCCTTGCTGGTACAGTATATTGATGGCTCGCCCACGAGGTCAAACAGCTTTTGCCCTCTCTTGCCACGTTTGCAGTGATAGGTCACCACCATTCCATAATAAAAATATTCTCTGTCAGTGCTAACGAAATCTCCATTGGCGATGGCTGGGGGTGGCCCACAAGGAATACCTGGGAAAAGGGATAGCAGCTTAAATAATAGTGTATTAAAATAACTAATGTGAGAAATCCAAAGAGTCCTAAACTGCAACTGTTTTTTACAACCATCATTTGCTTTTAATCTTTGCTAACATGTAGGTACATTTTTATTTTTCCAAAGTAGTCATTGAGGTGGGTATATAGCCTGTGTTCTGCATTTCCTATTTATATTATTTCTTCTAAATACATATACATTTATGAATACAATCCACATTCTTTTTATTATAAATAGATATTTGATTATATTATTATACCATCATTTACACAGCTCTTTCCTACTCTTTTCAATTTGCCTTAAGTTTCATTTTTGTTTTTCACTATACAGCTTTTTAAAAAATAAAAATAAAAAGACCCTTGCTAAATGAGAAGGTATAAGGGAAGAGAAACAACACAGATATTGAACTGCATGGATAAGATTGTGCACTTTATTATGTGTAGGTTTTACTTCAATAAAGTCTATGTGATAAGAAAAATTGTTAGAAGAAAAGAGCTTCCAATAGATAAACTCCAGTCCATATGGCTTTATTGGTGAATTCTTTCAAACATCTAAAAAAATAATGCCAACCTTACCCAAACCTTACAGAGAAACAAATTTATGGAATTCCACATGCTAGCTTTATGAAACTCTTGTAAGCTTGATACCAAAATCTCCTTAGGACATTACAAGAAAAAAAATTATAGTCTGATGTCCCTAAAAATATACTAGGAATGCAGTGATATAAAGATGTTAGAACAGGTTAGTGGTGATTTTTGCACAACTTATTATACTAAAAATCATTGAACTGTATATTTTAAAAGGGTAACTTTTAATGATACATACATTATATCTGAAAATATCTAAAAATATTACAAGAGCATATGAAACAACACATAGAAGTTATAAAGTATTACGACCAAGTTGATTTATTCCAAGAAGGTAAAATTGGAATTTAAAATCAGTTTGCCTTCCAAAAATTAATCAAAATAATTCATTACATGAAGAGAAAAATGGAGAAATAGATACAGTTATTTCAAATACATAGCCAAAATGCTTGATAAACTTCAGCACGATTTAATGATAAAATTCTTAGCTATGAAGAATACAATGGAACTTCCTCAAGTCTGAAATTGGGTATCTACAAAAAGCATATAGCAAATACCAAATGAAGGAAACAGCTGCCAGAAACCTCACAGGTATTTTTGAGAATATTACAGCTGTCTTTAGCTATCTGAAGGACAGATTGCATAAAAGGAATTCGATTAAGACTTTTAGAGCCTCAGGGGGAAACTTAGAATCTACTGGTAAAGGGCTAGTCCAACTCACTCTCACAAACAGGTGCTTCATTATCCCAAATGACAGTGTTGCCTGAGATGATGCACTCAGCAGAAGATCGACCAAGGAGTCGGTATCTAGCGGTAAAGAATAGTGAATGTTATAGTCAAAATAAATAGTCGGGCTCCCTACTTAATTGCTATGTACACAAGATTACAATCTTGGAGAATTCAGAAAGACAATTGCCATTTGTCAAAGTACTATCACTTGCCCAAATTTCACATCTTTATTTGGCTTATTAAATTTTCTCCTTCAGGCCTTCTAAATTAGATGGGATCTCTTTTTTATCACCTTAAGCCAGATTTTTATATAAATTTAAGATAAGTAAGATTCACCAAACTAGAACCAAAGGAAATCCAAGCAGAACAGAAACAGTTTTATTTCACACTTAAAATATTAAAGGCACAAAGTCTCCATGAGTATGCCACAAACTGTTCAAAGTGTGCCCTAAGATTTGGAAAAATTAAATTTTCCCCATTGAAAACATCTTGTAAAACTACAGTACAATATAAAAACCTGGATATTGACATAGATGCAACCCACCAATTTTGTTCGAATTTCCTGTTATATTTTTACTAATCTATGTGTGTGTGTGTGTGTTTATAGCTACGCAACTTTTTAACAGACTATTTTTTTTTTTTGATAATTACTTTTTATTGAAGGGTAGTTGACACACAGTATTACATTAGTTTCAGGTGTACAACACAGTGATTCAACATTTATATACATGATAATTCTAGGTACCAGCTATCACCATACCAAGTTGTTACAATATTTTGACTATCTTCCTTATGCTATACATTACATCCCGGTTACTTATTTATTTTACAATTGGAAGTGTGTACTTTTTTTTTTTTAACAGACTATTTTTAAGAAAAGTGAATGCAGTCATGTGAATAACACTCAGATAAGATATAGAATATCGTCAGCACCTCACAAGCCTCCCCCATGCCTTTTCTTAGTTATTATCTTCTCAGGGTATCCATTACTCATCAACGATTAGCTTTGCCTCTTCTTGAAGTTTTTAAGAAAAGTTTTAGGTACACAGCAATATTGACCTTCTATACACTCCCTGCCCTCACACAGGCATAGCCTTCCACATTATCAATAACTTCCACAAGGGTGGTAATTGGTTACCATTGCACAATGTAGATTCATTGTGATGAATCTACAATGGCACCTCACCCACAGCCCATAGTCCACGTTAGGGTTCATTCTTGGTGTTACGCATTTGGACAAATGTACACTTCGTATGTTTTGCCTTTTCTAGAATGTCATGTAATTGGAATCATACAGTAGTTTGCATTTTCAGGTTGGTTTCTCTTACTTAGTAAAATGTGTTAAAATTTCTTCCATGTCTTTTCATAGCTCGAGGGTCATTTTGGCTTCTCAGAGTGAATTTACCATATTACATTCCTATCAGAAATACAGGAGTAATCCATTTCCTCTACATCCACCCTAGCATTTGGTGTTTTCATTATTTTTTTATTTTAACCATTCAGATAGGTATGTGGTATTGTCCCATTGTTGTTTAATTTGCATTTTCCTAGGCTAATGTATTGAATATATTTTTGTGTAGTTGTTTTCCATCTGTATATTTCTTCAGTGAGATGTCTATTTCTGCTCCTACTTGGTTCAATAATGTGCCCCCAAATTTATGACCACCTAAAAACCTCAGAATGTGACCTTATTTGGAAATACATCCTTTGCAGATGTAATTGAGTTAAGATGAGGTCACAGAGGATTAGGGTGGAGTCTAATCCAATGATTGATGTCTTTAAAAGAAGAGGGAAATTTGGACAGAGACACACAGAGGGAAGATCATGTTCATACATACATACATACATACAAAGACTTGTAAGGACAGAGGCTGAGATTAGGGTGATTGTGTGTCTATAGCCAACTGATACCAAAGATTGCTGGCAACTGCCAGAAGCTAGGAAAGCCTGGAATAGATTCTTCCTTAGATATTCCACTAGAGACCAACCCTGCCAACACCTTGATTTCATGCATATTCAATTCTATTTCTAACTTGCTGTGAGTTTTTATCATGAATTGGTATTAGATTTTGTCAAATGCATTTTCTGAGCAATTGATATGAGCATACAATTTTTCTCATTTAGCCTATTTATACGGTTGATTACATTGATTTTTGAGTGTTGAATAAGCATTTCCTACCTTGAATAACACCCACTGTAGTCATTGTTTGTAATTCTTACATGGTTGGATTTAATTTGCCCATATTTTATAGCCATAAAACCATCTTCAATAAAGTACTAGAAAATCAAATCTAACAATGTATAAAAAGAATCATATGCAATGACCAAGTGGGGTTTATACTAGGCATGCAGTTAATATTTTTTTTAGACATAGAATTGACAGTTTTAAAATTCTTTTCTTTTAGTACTTGAAATAGGTTGTGCCACTTCCAAAAATAAATCCATTACCATTCAAACTGCCATTCCTCTAGAGCAATGTGTCCTCTCTGCCTTGAAGATATTTTCAAGGGTGTTTGTAATTACTTGTTTTAGTTTTATGATGGCTCCTTTAAAATCTTTGTTAGATAGTCAGAACATCGAATTCATCTTGGTATTGATATCATTTGATTGTCTATCCTCAGTTAAGTTATGGTGTTCCTGGTTCTTGATGTGACATGTGATTTTCTATTGTGTCCTGAACATATCAGGAGACTTGATTTTATTTAAACTTATGTTTTAGGCAATATCCTCTTTAGCTTTGTTATAGATCCTGGCCTACTTTTGGGGGCTTCAGTTCCAATGCAAATTTAGTTTTCTGGTCCTTGTAAGGCTATTCTGGTCTGGTTCTTTCTTAATTAAAAAATTTTAATTTCCACAAATCCCTGTGGATGCTATCCAGTAGGAGAAAGCCTCCCAGACTCGTGTCTCCTGGCCCTCCACCCAGAAGCAAAAGGCAGCCTAGATAGATGTTTCCCTCCCCTGGTGGCACCAACAAAGAGAGAGAGGGAAGCCCACCCTCATCAGGTAGCCAGAGAACAGGCCAGAGTGTCTACACTCCATCCCAAAGGTCGAACATCCCCCATTTCCCATCTAGTGACACCAGGCAGCCCAGGGAAGCACCTCTGCTCTCATGGTATATATATATATATATATATATATTCAGAATGAGTCACACTCCATTATTTTTCAAACTGTTTCCAGTATATACAATATTGATGGGTAGCACACCTATGTCCACTTTCCAGATTTCCTTTTGGGCACTTCAGTAAGAGTGACACTCCTGGCCTATTTATCCCTATGTATCCAGCATGAGTTCTCTGGCGAGTTGGGGAGAAGAAACAGGGCAGCTTGTCTCAGCCTTTTGCACCTTGCAATTTTTTTCTCCTTCTTTCTGTCTGCAGAGAGGTACATTCCGGATTATTCTCTGCCATGTACTAAGGGGCCTGCTGCTCCCCCTGTGGTGAGTGGAGGTGGGAGTTGGATGGGTGGGGAAAGCTACAATTGTCAAGCTATGCCTGGAGAACAGATCATTTAATTACAGGATTTCAAAAATTGGTTTATTTAGTTATATTCTCTGCTCATTTCTCTTCATTACTAAATATAAGTAATTACATTAAGAGCTAATGGATTCAACTTTTTGTTATAAGGTAGAGATTGTCTGGCTGGATTTAAAAAGCTAACTGTAAGTTGTTTACTAGAGACTCACCTAAAACATGATTATACAGCAAGGTAAAAAGAAAAATAGTGTGCAAAAAAGTTGAAAAATAATCAAAAGAAAGCAACGCAGTTATAATTTATGATGTTATAATATTAAATATCTAACATACAGTAAAGACTTTAGGTCTACATACAAAATAGATTTTAACTCAACAACATAACTAGATTTGAAAGAGAGCAACCCTACATAATGGTAAGTTTTAATACTCTCAGGGGATATGCAACTATTAATGCATATGCATCTAATTACATAAACTCCAATATGTAAAACATAAAACAGACGAAAATGCAAGTAGAAATTAGAAAAAAAATCACTATTATAAGAGTTGATAGATTAAGTCTGCTTTAGAAAAGGAACACATACTGCTCCCCTTACAAGGATAAATAGGTTGTAAAGCCAGTAAAGGACAGTATGTGAAGGCAAAATTGTTAGGCCTATTATACTCAGGAGCATAAAAGAAAAAGATATGAAGCAAGATATTATAAAAAATCTAGCAATATATAGAAAATACTTACTATACTTTCAGACTGAGGTTGTTCTTTACAAATTCAATGCTTAATCTGTTAATGTAATTCACAGATTAAAGGAGAAAACATATTATCTCTGAAGATGCAGAAATATAGTTAATAAAATTTAAAATCCATTCATGTTTAAAATTTTTAGCAAATTAGGAATAGAACCCAAAAGAAGGATACAGAGAAAAACCGGATAGCAAGCACTGTATTTAATGCTGAATTACTGAAAGCTTTCTCCTAGGGTTTCAGAATGAGACAACAACCCCCTGTCAGTATAACATCACAGTGGAGATTCCAGCCAGCATTGCAAGGCAGAAAAGAAAATAATAGGAACAAAATCTAGAAAGAAATAAGTGAAATTGTCCATAATTGAATTTACAATTATATTATACTCATAGAAAATCTAAAAGAATCTATAGCTAAAACATCATAACTCATAAGAGAGCTTAGTCCGATTCTTGTATGTTAAATCAATATTTAAAAGTCATTGCATTTACTATACATGCCAGGTCAAATGTACAAACTTTCAATTACAAGATGAATATGTTCAGGGGATTTAATGAACAACATGGTGAGTATATTACTAATACTGTATTGAATATTTGAAATTTGCTAAGGGAGTAAATAGTAAGTGCTATATTCCCTTTTCTCCACATCCTTGCCAAGACTTGTTATTTCTTGTCTTTTGGATAGTGGCCATTCTGACTGCTGCGAGGTGATAATTGATTTCGGTTTGCATTTCCCTGATGATTAAAAGTATGGAAAATCTTTTCATATGCCTGTTGGCCATCTGTCTTTCTTCCTTGAAAAAATTTCTGATCAGGTCCTCCACTCATTTTTTAATTGGGTTATTTTGTTATTTTTGA